TCATAAATCAAGTTACATTTTCCAAAGTGAGGTACTGAAACAATTCCTAGGTTCTTTTATGCAAATTTTACAGGAAATTGAAAGAAGTGAGGTCCATTTAAAAATAGATGTTAAAATATAACTTAAAGTGTATTGTAAAGATCACTGTCAAGTCTTTTTTTTGTAGTTACAATGAACTCAATTTGTTGTAGTGGATTAAAAGATAATGTTTAAGAATAGAAGAAACCTTGATCACCTACCAAAAGACATCAAATTCTACTCTGCTGCTCATGTGCAGAAATCAATAGCAACCTTTACCATAGCATATTTTCTGCAAAGACCCAAGCCTTCTGTCAAATGCACCCGGAGAAGCAACATACTTCCCTGGATAGAAGAACTCCAACAGGTAATGAACTCTTGCCTGTCTTTAATTACAGCTATTTGCTTACTTTTTGCCTCCTTTATTTCAGTTCTCTCTTCCGCCCAAATAAAAGGTAGAATTATACCTTAACAGACAATATTCTCCATTAAATAAAAAATAGGGTCTTCAAGCAAACAACTTTTCTATCTTATTTTTGATAAACTACATTGGTACCTTTATAAGGAAGCTGCCAACCTCCAATATTAATTCTTCTCTGCTCGCTTTCTGAATTCTCTATTTCTCTCTAAAGTCATTCAAACTTAAAAATGTGGACGGAAAGGTTGTACTAGTTTTGTAGCATCAGTCTCATCAATTTTGAATGGATAGTCAAAATGACCTCTTCACATTATTTTGTACATTAAGCTCAAATATAAATCACCTTAGCTGTCTTAAAATGCTTCTCCACCAGGATCAGCAGATAACTCAGTATTTTCCAGGATATTACTCCCCATTACACAGACATGCCTAGCATTTAGCATCATCCAAATACCCTTTATTTAGAACGGATTCAGCTTTTCAAGTGATCTAAATCAGTCCTTAGGACAGGTCTTACTTTTCACCTTTAAGCAGTTGTTTTGCTTTGAAGTAAATATAACCTTGCTGATGGGAAAAAAAAGTCACTCATTAAGATAATTAAAAGGCAGAGTTGAAACCCAGCTGAAATTCACAAAAGCTCTTCATTTTGATGTTCCACTACTAACAACTGCTTTTTTGGTCAACTACAATTTTAGTAAACTAGCTTTTAGATGAGCTTTATGAGTACCACGTATTATTGATCTCACCAATCTTAACAGGAGTAATGTCACATTTGGCCCAATGTGGTTCAAAATGGCTAACACCAGCTGCTTCAGAGAAAGGGTTAAGCAATGTTAAAATGTAGTGATGCATCAACTTGCTTCCACACCCAGACTTTCAGAGGCTAACTTATCCAAGAAGTTCAAAGGCATATAAGCTTTAATAGCACTTCTGTTACTATGGCTATTCATACTATACTTCCATTAATAACCTTTGGCTCTTTGGAACATATTGGAATACACTTAGTCTCTGTAACAGCGATATGGCAAGAAATTTCAAATGTTATGTATTACTGTGTGCAAAAATATAAAGAATCAATTTTGAATTTTCTACAGTTTCATTTCACTACACCTCAGGGGTTCCAGCTGTAGTTTACTGCCAGAAGGGACTAGATCCAAAGTTGGTATCTTCCAGAAATTTCTAAGACAATAAATGCTGTAAAATGAAATAATTTGGCTCTTCAGCAAAACATCTGAGTATCTTAATTCAACAATATTGGTCCCTGAATGAGCCAATGAGACTGCTCACTAGGCTATTACCTGCTTTTGCATATGTTCAGATTATTTTGCCATTTATCCATGGTTAGCTACTTACTTCTTGGACTTGCTCTTAGCCCTCCTGCATATTTCTGTATGTATACTGCCTGCTGTGGATTATGATAATTTTATTGGCCCACACAGAGTTGGTTTCTCCATTTTCTCTAGGCTATTTGGCTTCAATGGTCTTGTCAAACAGTCATTGCAAGCTCAGTCTAACCATTTTTATGCATGCTCTGTATACATCTAGAAAACAATAAGTATCTATTGTGTGTTCCAACTGCATAGAAATTAATAATGCATGACTGTATTATAATATATGCATGCACTATGTCTGCACACACAGTCATACCTGATTTAAAAACAAAATTTTTACTGTTGTCACAAAAAGGTGAGTTTTAATCTAAGGCTTTTTCATTGGAATAAAACTAAAAATTTGGAGAAAACCATCCACAAAGGAAACAGATATTACAGTGTGCTTTGCATCTTTAAAATTACCAATTTTAAAACTGTTACAATTAATTTAATTAATGGACTGCTACTTACCTCTAACATTTACATTTAGAAATGTTCAAATAATTCTGAGTTTATCTTACATTATTTTTGTTGCTGACCTTAAGCAGCTGCCAAGCACCAGCTGCTCGCCCATATTCCCCCTCCTCCAGCAGGATGGGGAAGAGAACAGGAAAAGAGAAAGTGAGAAAATTTGTGGGTCAGGATACAGGCAGTTTAAGCAGTAAAGGAAAAAGAAAGAAAAATAAACCCCAAACAAATAAACAAAAACCAAAATATCCAACCCAGAAAATGCAAAGGTAATCTCTTACCACCTCCCACAAGTGGACATGCTCAGCCACTGGTAGTAACAGCAACCTCCTCAAAAAAGCTTTTATTGCAAGCATGGCACTCTGTGACACTGAATAACTCTGGTGAATTTAGCTCATCTGTCCAGGTCGTGTTCCCTCACACCTTCTTTCTTGTCCTCAGCTTACTCACAGCATGGAAATGGGAAAAGAGAGAGCCTTGGCACTGCAAATACTATTCAGTGATAGCCGAAACACAGGTGTGTTATCAACACTGTTTCAGTCAGAAATCCAAAACACAGCACCATAGAAGCTGCTATGAAGAAATTGAACTCAATTCCAATCAGACACAGTACACTAAGAAAATGTTAAACATGACTTCAGTGAGATACGGTCATATTTTGCTGAAATAATGTCTAGTGTGTTTTTGGTAGTGGTTGTCAGCCTAAATTTCTGCAGTTTCATTTAAGAGACATACATCTCTCTGCTATGCCTCCTAGTCTAGGAGACATTAGACATCATTTTGATTTCTGCACAATCCTGACATCTCAAGGGCTCAACAGCAGTAAAGGATAGCCAGCACCCCTGCTTGAGCTCAGATCTGTGCTTGGTGAAAGTATCTCTCTAGTCTAAATTCTTTTACAAATCAAATAGCAGAATCCTGTGATCTCCTCAATAATCCCAGCTGCTTGCTCCAGGGGGTTTTGAAAATTCATTTGACTGCTTTGACAATAGGAAGTTTGACTGCCTTTGAACCTGCTTTCAAAGACAAAGTCATACAAGTCAAGCTACTGCCCATGGAGTATTCTAGTTAACTTTGACAATGATGGACACCTTTCATGACCATTCCCAGATCTCTTATGCCTACACTTCACAACTGTCTTTAATGATGAATGACAGTCATATGCAATGAATGACAATTTTCCAGTATCTCATCCCCAAATAAATGGTATTATCATCACATTTTTGCTACAACTTATCAGGCTGAAAGAATACAGTCTCTGATTACTCAATTCTTTATTAATGTAATAACTTGAACAAATACTACTTTATACATTTTGAGATGCAGATGGGAAAGTATATCAAGTTCTTAGGTAGGATATGCTGTCTTCATTACTTTAGGAACTGTAAATCTTAGTCTTTAATGAAAATGTAGTGTGGAGAAGACAGATGATGATTTGAAACTAGTTCAGATGTCCTAGCTGAGTCTTGAACAAATAAATTTGGATTAAACAAGGGAAATTCAAAACTGTTTTGAATAGAAGTCTCATTCTCACCACTGACAGAAGTGGCAATTGTATTGGCTTAGTGACGTTGTTTTCATTTCATACACTTACATCTTCACCAATTCAAGAGGGACTAGAATAGCCCAGCAAACACACCCTCTTGAAAAGGTCATCTATCCAAGCTTACATTTTGTGAGAAAAGGTCTCACCTTAGGCCACCATTATTGGCAATGATTACTTATTACTGGCAGATACAATTGAATTTATCTTAACAAAAAAAGAAAGCTTGGCTGAAAATTGTTATTTCTGTTACAGTAACGTTAAAGGTCCACAGATCGGGACTTCCCTGTGCCTGTACTTTACAGAAACAAAATGGAAAGTACTGCACATAGGACAAAATGCTTGACATATAACCAAAGAAAACTATAATCCAAATGTCAATCTTCAAATAGAAAGAAACACGATAAGGACTGAAGCACGAAAATCCCAGAGCCAATGTGAAAACATTCATCAGCTTGATAGGCACTGACATTAGAGAACTTGAGTCTTGGATTTTGTAATAAAAATTATCATTATGATCATAAATCATCATTTATGATCATTAGTGATGATTAGCAATTCTTCTTATAAAAATAATTTTTAAAAGAGAAAAATCTTCCTGAGATTTGAGAAGTGTTCACAAGGACCTCCTCCCAGGCTTGCAGGGCAGAAAAAGAGATAATATAAAGGATTTTTCTTTAAAACAAGATGTCAAGGAATCTGAAATAACACGCCACTTTAGAAGACAAATTATCTCTCACTACAAGGGGAACCAGCTTTTTTTTTCTTTTGAATTGTACATGGATGAACATGAAGGTACTTTTCTAATTGCTTAAAGATTTTATATCTGTGGTATATGTCTGCAATATTTATCCATTTTCAGTATGGAACAAAGAGGATAATTAGCTTCCAGGGACTGGTACGAAGCAGTAAGCCAATGCTCCTGCCATGAGAGAACGCTCATGTGCACGTGTACCCAGAAGAGTGGGAAGATGACTGAAGTGACAGAGGTAAACCACAGCAGGCATATAAAAAGTTACTACCCAAGGCAGACACACGAAAAAGGAATTACCAGATGGTAGCAAGCAGTATTCTCCATTTGCTTGTGCATTTCTCAACTCTGGCAACTTCGTGCATGCTTACATTTGCATTTTTGATCTCTATAAATCTAGTTGCTTCAGAAGGCCCATAATTTTTTACTTACATACTGATTCAGCACCATTTGTATGGTCCAGGTTTGCTGCCTGTGGAACATAAGGCTTCTTTTCTGACTCCTGCAGCAGCTTCAGAAAAACCTTCCATGAAAGTAGAAAAAAGTAACTTATAAATTTCTATAATTATATATATATTCTAAACCATCCAGACACTCAGAAATTACTACTGACTGCTGTAACCACCTTGCTTATGATGCTTCAGCTAGAAATCTGTGGACACAACTAGAACGGTTACCAAAGAGTTTAGTTGTACTAGCACAGCAAAATCTAATGTACAAAATCCTACAGAACTGAGAACCTACAGATTCCAGGGAATTCAGTGTCTAGGGACACTCAGGAAAAGTTCCTAGGTATGTGCAAGCACACGGACAATAACGTTACTGAAAGACATTTAAAGGACAAGGCAATCATCAGAGACAGTCAAGGTGCACAAAGTCTTGTAAAACATACTACAGAGAGGACTGGGCAACTGTGTGTTTTGTAGCAAAATATTAGTGTGCATACCCCAAATTGGGTAGAGATGATAGGATTCTGTTACCTAAAATCACCATGAGAAAAACTGAAATTACTTTTTTATAAAAGCAACAATCTAAAAATATGCACCAGATTGAAACTGAAAGGATTGAATTTTCTTAATTAGAGGAACACGTCAGAAGGGACATAAAATGAAAAAAAACTCGCAGAATTAATCAACTTTGTAATAATGAGGTCTATTTAAATGGTCTATACACTTTGCCAAACATATTTCTGTTCAGCCTACTATTTCTTGCTTAAATCTGCTTCACAGTTCTGTCCACATGAAGCCTTTTGAATTTCATAGGCATGTATTCCATTTATCTGTACTTCTGCCTTGCAAAAGCTTGGAATGGCTCTCATGGTGAGCCTTTTTCACACACTCCCCACTTGTAACCTCAAGCTAAAAACACAATTAACATTTTCCTATCTTAACCTGAACTGCAATTTAAACAATGATCTAAGAACTTCAGATAAAAAGATAAAAATTAACAGAAAATACAGGTACGATGAGCATCTTGAACAGGAAAAGAACAACCAAATTCTGCTTTGTCTTGATGAAAGTTTTCTTTTGCTCTTTCTTCTCTGTTTGGGTTGAACTGCAAGACAGATTATACCCACAGTGCAACTTCAAGAAATCATTAAGAAACCATTTATTTCTTCCCACAAAAGAACCTGATATCAGCTATAACAAAAAATTCCTTGTTTCCAAGGAGCTTATAGAATAGACAATAAAAACCAGTCAATGTGAAGTACTTTATAGCTCTTGAAAGATATTTCTTGACTTTCTAAGGTCTGAATGTTACAAAGCCGTATTTTGTTTAGTCAATATAATTGCCATTTAACAGTGGTTATTGATTGCATTTGTTACCTGTCAGCTTTCAGGGAACAACTTTGGCCATTAACAACTGCAAGGCCAGGAATTTCTGGCCTGATATTTCCATATTAGACCCTGGAGGCAGATCCTGACAGTCCAAAGCCACATTCTAATTTGTTTTCTTGGACCTGCTTGCTGATGGCTCTGAACACCAATTTTGTCAAGCAAACCAAACTAAACTGTGACAACTGAATCATAGAATCACTGAATTTCCTGGGTTTGAAGGGACCTTTAAGATCATCTAGTTTCAAGCCGTCTGCCATGGACACCTTCCACTGGACCAGATTCTTCAGTACTCCATGCAGCCTAGTCTCGAGCACTTCCAAGAATGGGACATCCACAGCTTCTCTGGACAGCCCAATCCAGTGCCTCACCACCCCCACAAAATAGAATTTCTTCCTAATGTCTAATTTAAAGCTACTTCCCCTTCTCCTGTCACTGCATGCTTTTATAAAAAGTCTCTCTCTGTCTCATAGCCTCCCTTTAAGTACTAGAAAGCCACAATTACGTCACTTCAAAGCCTTCTCTTCCAGCTGAACAACCCTAACTCTCTCAGCCTTTCCTTCAGGAAGAGGTTCTCCATTCCTCTATTCACCTTGGTGTCCCTCCCCTGCACCCACTCCAGTAAGTCCCTGTCCTCCCTGTGCTGGGACCCCAGAGCTGGATGCAGCACTGCAGGTGGGCTCTCACCAGAGCAGAGCAGAGAGGCAGAATCCCCTCCCTGCCCTGCTGCCCACTCTGCTTTGGATGCAGCTCAGGACACGTTTGGTTCCTGGGCTCTCAGTGCCCATGGCTGGGTCATGTCCAGCCTCTCATCCACCAGCACCCCCAAGTCCTTCTGGGCAGGGCTGCTCTGGATCTGTTCATCCTCCAGCCTGTGCTGGTACTTGGGGTTACCCTGACCCAGGTGCAGCACCTTGCACTTGGTCTTGTTAAACCTCGTGAGATTCCCATGGGCCCAATTCTTGATCTTGTCTAGCTCCCTCCAGATGGCATCCTGTCCTTCAGGTGTGTCAACCACTTGGTGAAACATCAAAGTAATTGCACCTCTGTGGCTAGGACAATGTCTACACTAAAAAACATTGCCTGCCTATGTTTACTTCAGTGTAAAAATAGCTGCAGACACATTTCTTTATTTAATCTCATTAAGTCATTGCAGAGAGGATGTAGCTATACCTTAAAAAAAAAAAGAAACAAACCCACCAAATTCCTTTCTAACACATCCTATCCCTATTGTACCTTCATTGAAACATACTCTGATACAGCTGTAAAGACAGAAGGCCACCTGCATTGCCCAGTCCTCCCCATGGTATGCACTTTTCAAACATCCTCTTAAGAATGGGAATCATTAGGGACTACATTGTACAGAACATATGATAATTTACCTGATGTTGCACCAGATATTGTGGACAGAAGTAGTATTAGCCTAACAAGGTTATTAACAGAGTGAGTAGCCTCCGAGACACACAGGTATGGAAAAGTCATGATTAGGCACCATGACAATGTTCTTGCTATATCTGAATGGAGGTATATTCTAGACCTCAGAGTGCATCTTTTCCCCACATACCTTAGCTTTTCCTACTTGCTCAGTTAGTCAGAACGCAGTGTTAATGGCAGCAAGGTTATGGGTTCAATCCCCATATGGGCCATTCACTTTAGATCTGCACTTGATGACCCTTTTGGGTCCCTTCTAAATCTGAATGTTCTGTGAAATTCTGCTTAATTTCTGTTTTGACTAGCATGTCCATATCTGACCAAGGACTTGTCCTTGTCAGGGACAAAAAGTGCTTTTTGTCCTTGAGGAAACAAGTCTGGCCAAATGAAAATACTACAGTGAAATAGATTAATATTAATAGATTAATAGAATATTAATAGATTCCAACACCAGAAGCTATTGGAACACACTGCATCTCACTAGAAGGTGCACATAATTTCAAGGACATCTATGGCTTTCCCTGGAAAGTTTTGATGCGAACTCTCAGGTCGTTTCAAGGAAAATAACTTAAAAGCAGTACTTAATTAACAAATTTTTACACACCTTTTATTGAAAAGATGCTACAATCGTTTTGTTCTCTCCTCAAAGGAAAGCAAGAAAGCAATAAGCTTTGAAATCTCCAGAGTTGCCATAAAGTGAAACAGCATCCTCCAGAGAACTCTTAGTATATGCTTAATTTAATTAACTACCCTTCTATTCTACTTTTGGCTCTACCAACATTTTTGATTACAAGTATTATAAAATGCAAGCCTAAATTTGAGCAAATATAATATTAGTGAGATTTAAAGGTGTCAGAAGCTGATCTGTGAGAACTTCAAGATTCCTTTGAAATATGAATGGAGGTCCATTTTCCCTCAGTTAATATGATTTTGAGAGCATGAGTGTCCCTCAGAACAAAAAAGAATAATGGTGAGTGTATAGAAAGGATGAAAAAAAAATATAACACATTTCTTCCTTTAAGGCCAGGGTTCTTTGTTTCCAGATTGAATGGCTTGAATAGATTAAATAGTGCTATTATGTACTATCTTTTTAGTTCCCAATGCAAAGAGGCTTTTGATAAGAAAATAGAGAATTGAGGTTGTAACGACAACTAATGATGAGATGCAGAGATGACAGAAATCAACCCAAATTAATGCATTAAATCTTCAAGCTGAAGAATGATGCATTAATATCTAATACCACATTTAAAGATGTTTTTAAACTTCCCCTTCACAAAACAGCTAAAAGCAAACTCTTAACTGAGTCACAGATTCTGCTCACTGAGGAAACTTCCTCATATCCATGACAACTTCACATTTACTTTATTCATGTCAGTTCTGGAAAGTTCTGTTATCCCATGGGGATGTAACCCAGAAGTATTCACAACATGTACATTACCTCTAAATCAATAATGTTTGGCAGTGAAAAATCATATTCCTTATACCATGTTAATCATATTATATAAGAAAATAGAAACTTTTTAATTTTTTATTTGCCTCAGAACAGGAATATAATTTACTTCATAGCATTAAATAATATATTTATTAAACTTTTAAACTATGTATGAAAGGAGACATTAGTCTCCTATCCTCACTTGAAGTAAAAAAAAATATTTCTAAAGGATCTATAGTACAGTACTTGGATAGTGGTGGTTTAGGGAATCTTATTATTTAGAAATTATAGATGGGGTAAAAAGAGTCCAAGGGAAATAACCTCTTGCTGACATGGCTATTTACACAGAGCTGAATTCAGAGTGATGAAGATGCATAAGAGTCTCTTCCTCTGATCCATATACTATATACACCCACATACATGTACATATATGTGTATATGTGTTTATGTATACATATATCAAAGACTCCCGGTATACACAGAAAATATTCTTTAGATATTTCATCACACAGTTTGGCTAAGTCTTCAGAACTAGTAAGTTGGAAATTATTCTTAGCAATTTTTTTTTCTGTCCAAAGAGCCACCTGAGCTGAACTACCAGACTTGAAAGTCCAAAGATTGTTTGAATGCTATGGGTTTAGGACAACACTGCTTCTCATAAAGTAAGGGAAACGTAACGCATCACTGAAGTTAAATGCAGAACAGTTAAGGGTTACACAGTTCATTAGTCTTCACATTAGATTCTTGAAATAAAAAATTACATCATAGTAGAGTGGGTGTTGAAATTAACAGCAGAGCAAAACTATAAAGTATAGATTTTACGGTAATTGGGAGGTTTTGTTTGCTTGCTTTTTGCCTTTTTTTTTTTAAACATGCTTCTCACAAGAAATTGCGCAATATAAAAGATACAATCAAGATTCTCTAACCTAGAAAATGTCATTACACAGAAAAACTACAAGTACCTCTTCCAAAGTTGTGTCAGAAATGCCATAGCCAGTCACATGCAGATGCTGAAGGCTTTGATCTAAAGCTTGAAAAAGACCTTTAAAAGAGGTCTTATCTGCCCTTTCTGGAATCACATAGGTCAGCTCACTCCCACTGTTCTCTTTCAAGAAGGCTTCTGGAATGTGGGTCTGTACCAGAGATGTGACCTGAACAATGTGCTTAGGGTCCTGGATTTCAAACACAGAGGGCTTTGAAGAAAGAAAGATAATAATGCAGAAAAAATTAAATATGACTAGAAGAATTGGTCTTAATATTAGAATTCATGCAGGAAAAATTCCACTTGATGAAACTACATCACAGCTGGGATACAGAAACTACCTCCCAGGAATAAAGGACAGTGAGACAAGCCCCTTTTCACCTAAATACTAATATTCACCATTTTCAAAGATGACATTGTGTTCATCTAAATAACAATAATAATACTACCCACACAAAACAACCAAGGAAGCCAACAAAAGCAAGTTTTGCCGGTTCTTTAATAATTTATGTTACATATTACTTCCTGTCAGGGACATGCATCTCCCCAAAATATACTTGGCAGGCACCGTCCAGTGCAGCACAGTACATTTTTAACATACCTTTTTAATGAGCGTCAGACTGTGTCCCTGGCCATATGTCTCCCTGAGGTAAGAGGGCGAGCCGCAGCACCTGAGCTGGCCCCGCTGCAGGATGGCAATGCGATCGCTGAGCACCTCGGCCTCATCCAGGTGGTGAGTGGTGAAGATCAGTGTGCAACCTGCGCGACAAAGACTGGCTACAAAACCCGGGTTCTAGAGAAACCCCTCACAACGGTCCTTTAGCCCTAAAGCCTTTGTTATCCAGACTCCTCACATTCTTAACTACAGGACACAAACAAAATCTGCTGTCAGAATTACAAACTGAGTTAGATTCAGTTCTAGACTTGCTTTGCCCTGTTTTATAAATAGCAAACTGTATTAAGGCTTTAGAACCTCCAGCTGCTTTAAAAGCTTAATAAATTCCTTAAAACAACATAACAGCAGTGTCCCTTTCAATGGATCAGTCAGTGTGAGTTATTACAGCTAACAGAGTGCTCACTAGCTGAAGAGTTTGATTCCCATAATCAATTTTAGAATTAGTGTAGCAGACTGACTGATTAATATATATTCTCATTAGAAGTATATAAGCATCAATACACAGATCTATGCAAAATGGGAAATGGAAACCAGAAAGTAATTTTGAGAAGCTGAAGAGAAGGGAGAAACTTCAGGACAGGATTTAGAATTAAGATCAATAATTTTTTAGATTATGTGTCTTTCTGTACAGTAGCAGATAATTCTTGTAATGCTATTTGACTTGTCTGACAGTTACCAAGTTCAACATAACAGTCCCTCAGAAATTAATGTATTTAGCTTCTGATAATATTTTGGCTACACTTTGACTATCCAGTTTAAATTTATTGAAAAAATATCCAGAAAGAAAACTAAGATGAAAATGATGCACATAAATTTTGTACCAGCTTTGTACTTCAGAAGAACATCCCAGATACTACGGCGAGAACATGGATCTACTCCACTGGTGGGCTCATCCAGCACAACTGTCTTTGAGTTTCCAATAAAGGAGATGGCAATTGACAGCCTCCTTTTCATTCCCCCAGAAAGGGCTCCAACAGGTTTGTACTGATGCTGGGATAAATCCACATCTTCCAGAACTCTGAAACAGGAGTACAGGAACAGAGCCAATTTTAAAAATGTTCTTCTAGTCACATTCTGTCCACTCAGAGAACGACTGAAAAGTAATTGTAAATGGAAAGCTATAAGATCACTACTTCTATCTGACTATATACTTTGGTATCAAAAACAAATTGGAAAAAAGTATCTCTACCTATAAAGCAAAAATGCTTATCATCATCAGATGCACAGATTATAAATAAGCATTGTAAAGAAAAATTTTAAATTAAAGCAAGTAAAATAAATACTAGTTTGTCCAACAACTTGAGCAAACTCCAGATTAAAGCCCCTTTAAACAATGATAAAGACTGCTAGTTTCACAACTCAAGCAGTGCTTCACGTTTTGCAAACTACTTAATGAACACTAGAGATGCCTGAAATTTTAGGAAATGTGTTGGCATTTGAAGTAAATAGGGTAACACCACTCTTTTTTTTTCTTTCAGAGAACACATGTTTGTGAAATAAACTGATCAGTGATTCCTGGGTAAAATCCAATCAAATCTAATCTAATTCCTGTGTTAAGGACTAGGACAGATGTTTCCAATTCAGCTCTTGCCCTCTTATGCTGATCTTGCATCTGAGCATGGTATGGAAAAATGATTAATAAAGGCAATATTATAAGACCTTTAACTTATTTTTCATCACACTGAGCATCCAGTCACTGACCTAAGAGCTTTCAACTGCTATCAGCTTGGCAAGGAAGACATAGAAGGCTCAACAGTCCTAAGCTAAACTCCTGAATCATTTTGGTGAATATGAAGTCTGTAAGCCATGCCATTTACCCTGAGAGAATTTCTCATTTTTGAGAAAACTCATTTTAATAGCTATTCCATAGATATATAGTGAGGAAAATAATTCCTAATCTCTTTAGGAGCCCACTTTTTTTGGTTAATCAAAAGCTTTTGTTTCCTTTTCTTCTTGCTTTTCTAATTCCTCTGAAGCCCTTTAAAGCATTTGTTGCCTTTAAAAATATTTTTTCTTAGTAGCAAGGCCTGCAGAGTTCTGAGTGTTCTCATGTGCCATTAGTATGACAGACTGCTGCTAGAATTACAATTCAGCAGTCTAAGTACCATAAGGTACAGAACATTATTTTACATCCATTTTAACCATTTGATAAGTTGGTTTTGTCTCTGCAGTTCTGGAGAATTCCTTCAGTTTTTTTCTGGGGAGAACATAGTGTCCCACATCGGAGTTTGTTCAGATCAAAATTTAAAAGTAACAGGTTTTATGGTAACTACCAAAAAGGAAAGCCACTTTGCCACAAATGCCTCTGCATATGCCTGGCTGTGCACTTGTCCCATCAACTTGACATTTGTTTCCAATGAAGCTTGGAAGCGCCCAGCTCTTCACAGAGCTTAGCATGAATCAGAAGGTAAACAAACTATTTACACTGCCACACTGTTTGAAAAGCATGGCTTTTATTGCTGAAGTAGAAAATGCAGTTTGCTATTAATGAACCATATTTCAGCTTGTACAGTTTACTAGTTAGTTTAATACAAGCTAGGCAAAAATAAGATTTACAGTCCTATATCAAAGAAGTATCAGCACAAAAACACTAGCAAATGTTTTTAACCTGACAAATGGCAAATACTCCAAGTTCATATCAGAGCTCTGACTTGTTTTTGCTCTTGGATTTTTCAGTTTTAAATCTCTTCATTTATTAAAAACATTTTGATGTTAGATTTGGCAAAGGAAAATGAGGTGACCTATTTAAAAAAGATTATAACAAGCACTGTCTTTACCTGGCTTTTCTGGTTTTCTAGCCTTCCTTCTATTGCAGGTGAGGGAATACTGGATAATAAATATATTAAGTAATTTTGTTGATTTATCTAAAATCTCAGGGAAAGCGCAGCTGTTTTCTTTCTATCTGCTTCCCCAGCGAGGATAGAGGTGAGGCAGACAGCATGAGGCAGAACCCCTGCAATTTCCACAGGGCTAACCACCTCCACTCCAGTCAAAACATCATTACTTGATGGTGCTGTATACCAGGCTTTAAACATTGACAGTTCCCACTACAAATATATTCAAGTAAGAGTTAGAAACTAGGAGATCTATTTTCAAGTCATGATTTCAGAGCATGAAATGTGATAAAAAGTCACAAAACCCTGCAGTTTACATTGTTTTTTCTTGCAAGTTTTGTGTTTTCTCTTTTTTTTTTGTTTGGGTGGCTTGCAACAGTCATTGCCAATTTACTTGACAACTGTCAAGAAATGGGAGGAAAGCTTACCCACTGACTTGCTCATTCAACTGTTCTTTTGTCCACCCTGGTGCCTTCACTGACCCATAGAGCAGGAGATGCTCCCGCACCGTCAGCGTGCTGAACAGGACATCGTACTGGGGACAAACACCCAGCTCTGTCCTGATGGCAGCCAGCTCAGTCCTGATGTCCTTCCCATCAACAATAATGGTACCAGAGCTTGGTGGATACAGACCAGTCAGCAGGGAGCTGAAAGAAAAGAAAAATATATTCAGCAAGATAACGTGCAATTAGCTCATCACTCGGATATCCTGAGGCATGTTCTAACATCCTTACATCAACATCAATGCAGTTGAGTATAGTTATAGAAACATCACTAATGGTTTGGGTTTAGATATTTTTTGCTTTTGAGGGGTTTTTTTTCTGTTGGTTTGTGTTTTGGTTTTTTGAGTTTTTTTTGGTTGGTGAGTTTTTTTAACATGACCTCAAGAGTTCTTCCTTTCCCTTCCTCCAGAAGAAAATCCATTTTTTCCCCTACCAAATCTAACAGGTGATTTTTTCCTTTTTCACATGGGTATTCTGTGAAGAGTATTTCCCAATTAGGTCCCATGCTGCATCACTGTCTTGATAAAAGCTGATTATAGCTAACAGAAAGGTAGAAACAAAAGCTTCTTAGTTGAGACATTTGTAAAGGTCATTTTTCATTTCATTACTTTCATTCCTGGTCAGCTGCCAAGAAAAAAGTCCCCTGCAACCTCTGGAGACAAAAACTCCACACTCCCCATGTGGTGAGAACATATAGGTTGCCAGAAAAGAACACTCCTTCAAGATGTGTTCAACTCCACAACCAGACCAGGTCCTACTTAAGCTGTTCCTGAGATATCACAACATGGTTTAAGTGGCACAGAGGACTCAGTTTTCTATTCATTACATTCCTTTTGTCATAGATATACAATCTTCACTTTACATGTGCTTTGGGGAGTTTATCAAATATTTCTTTGGGGGGGGGAAAAAGGCATAGCAGATAGTTAACAAAATTTTAAATTGAAAAAGCATAACAGAGATCAGAGGGGACAGTAACAGCATTGAAAGTCAGACTTACATAACTGTTGTCTTTCCAGCTCCATTAGGGCCCAAGAGTGCTGTTATCTGACCCTTATGGAAAGTGAGGTTGAGGTCTTTCACAGCAGCCTTCTGACCATCCATGTGCTCTTTGGTGAGGGACAGCAACACAACACCAATGGTGGCTCCTTCATTGCAAGGGATTTTCCAGCTCTGAGGTGCTGACTCTGTGCGGGGAAGAGCAGCAGAACAAACAGGTTTCTGAATTTAAATGTGTATACGTGTGTGCATGTGTGTGTGTGTAAGGAATACCAAAATAACTTCAACTTCTACCATTTACCAAAGCCTAGAGAAGACATTCATTGTCTGAACTGACACAAACTACACTGAAATGAAATGTCAGCTAATATTTGCTGAGAATTTGGCCCATTTGCAGTTTTAAAAAGCAACCTATAACAGTTATGCCGAGTTATGTGCATGTCTACATATGTCTTGATAAAGTCATAAAATAGTTGCTATATTTTACTTCTAGTAAAAAGATACTTATAATAACATTACTTGAATCATTTTTTTTTATACCATAAGCATTAGAAGATTCTAACTGTGTAAGCTACTTCATATATGTCATCCAGTTTCAGGCACACAATATTGACATAGCATTCACAGGCATAGGCAGTAAATCTTCCCAATTCCACTCAGTCAACTAAGCAAAGCAGATCTCTGAAATGATTCAGAGTAAGCCTAGTCTAAACATAATTCAAGGTGCTCAAGGCAAGCAAATATCCAGCAGTCCTTTAACTGTGAGGTAACATCATCAGGAAACAGGTGCCTTATGACACCAAGGAAGTTGCCTTCCTTTCCATGTCAGGTTTGCACTACTTTGCAAACATGACCACAGTCAATCAGCAGCCCCATTACATTATTCATGTTTAATATTTTATTGACTCATTGCTACTTAGAGATCTGGCAGTGAGTTGGTTTATTTTCTTTTACAGCAAAAGCAAGCCAGAATGGAATGCTAGTCCAAAGAAACAAACTTTTATTCCTGAGAATTATAAGAGAGAATTATTGTTATAAATATATATGTACATAAGATATTTATGGTTTATAGTTATATTCTTTGCAATACTTTTACATAAATAAAACACTACAAGAACAGAGAACTATTCTATACATAAAAAGCTTGAATCATATAAATCAAATTATAAATAAAAATACATCATTATTTCAAAGATTGGTTTATTTACACAGTGAATGAAGAAGTTGTTTTGCTGCTTTCACACTCAATTTTAAGCTTCTGGCAAAATTTCGTTCTAAACTTGAGGTCCCTTGCTAGCAAGGTACTGCCAGCAGTTGTGAAACTGAGACCTCCTACCCATGCACCATTCTTCCAGGTACCTTTCTGCCGTTTCTTAAATTTGCATCCTTTAAACTAACAAAAAAACATTCAGCTGCAGAGTGGGCCTCAGACAATGTAGCTCAAGAAAGACTCAGAAAGAGAGCTCCAAGTTACTTGCAAGCACTAAACTGATTACCCAGGGATTTCTCCAAAGGGGAGCTCCAAACGGGTACACAGCACTCTGGTCTCTGCCATCCCTGCTCTAGTTGTAGTTCCAGCTAGTGGGACCTACACTCCCAGCTCCTCTCTCACACACCTCTGATTTCCTAAATGTTCTCCATGCTCCTGGAACCTGCCCTTACCTGGGCTGTATAGCACAAGTGAAAAAATTGCCTGAAAGAAAGTCACTTTGCTGTTCCAAGAAAGTTCTTCATGGTTGCGTTTAACTCATTGTCAGGACAGTGGCACACAATTCTTTTAAAGGACGGCAAATTCCTTTGCTGCATGACAGTTTTAGCATTCACACACAGGCAATTTGCTATCAACCAGATGGCATGAGGAAACGTGACCCACCAAGTGTAGGCAATCCTAAATGAATTGAGCCAGAAAGCACACTAATAACTGGTCAGACAGAAAAGTTTATGTCTTTGTTTTCCACAAATTATGTAGTGAACCCAGCGGGAAACGTTGGAAATCTTAATTTTATGTAAGGACCAGACACGATCATCTTAACAAAATAGAGTTGTTACAAAATGCAGAAATTCAGACAAAACTCATACAAATCACTTTTCCACAAGTGTTTAAATGAACCCCAAGACATTTCAAAGTCTGCTCTAATCTAGGAGACACCTGTATGTAAAACTTCTGAGTCGTTCAGATTCGTCACCTACGCTACAGACAACTGGATCATTTCTAAGATATTGCCACTTCCAAAAAAAGCACAACAACCCATCGTGTTGTTTCTAAGGTCCAAGACGGAATACAGGTGAGAGTGACTTACTCCTGCATTTCCAAAACCTAAACTAAATGTGGGAACGTCCTTAAAGGGACTGGGAAAAGGTTAAAAATAAAAGCTCTGAATTAATTGCAAGCAACTGAACATACATAGAAGAGTAGTGAAATTATCTGGAGGCCAATAAAAATTAGTTACAATAACAGCTTTCTAGACAAAAGGCTAAGAAGAAGAGACAGAAAAGTGATTATGGAAGAGGGAAATTAGAAATAGAAGGGAAAGAAATAAAAAAAGTTAATTTTTCCACTGAAACAAGAAGGAAATTTCTAAAAAAACTTAATAAAGCCCAACACATTCCAGATTCACTAGGAGTATGAAAGGGTTCAGTGAACTCCAAAAGATCCAAACAAAGCAAAGAGGCAACACACTGGGACAGGATGAACCCAAGAGATACTTATTTTACATCTTTTAAGAAGAGTTTTCTTAAATATTTCTGTACAATTTCACAGAATGAATCCATCCTTACAGGGGGTTGCAAAATGTCACTATATAATATTAATCGTATATACTATATAATGAAAGAGAGAAAGGGACAAGGTCTTAACATATAATTCGAGCAATGATAAAAGCAGATTAACAATGACTAGCACACCATTCAGAAAAAAAAGCCATTATTCAAATTCAATTACTACAAACCTTTTTCTTGGAAGTTTTCATTGAAGAAAAACATATTAGAATTCAGATAATGTCCCTTGCTTCTCTCTGTACCAAACAGGTTCTTCCAGTAGGAAGCAGTAAAGGGAAAGTTCCATCGGTTCTTTAATCCAAATTTACCTATATTAGAATGATTATATAAATTGTTGAAAAATTTAAAGTCGTTTTGCATCTGTTTGTAGACTAAAACTGTCCTATTATTGTTTACAATGAGCTGGTTATGTCACCTAATTAGCCCAAATAATTTTCTGTGCTTAAAAATTTTAATAAAGTGTAAAAACGTCATTTGGTCATAAAACCAAGTCCTTCCATGAAAAAAAATCAAGCCTCAGTGATGCTTTACCCTGTCTCCAAATCAGCTTCAAAGTGTAACAAAATAATAGCTTTAATACAATCTTGTAACCCATAGGGAAGAAAATACATCAAATAGCGTGCCAAGAGAAAGAGCCTTTTTTTATTATAAAAAATGGTCCATCACACCAGTTCTTCCATTAATATCTGCAAAATGGAAACAAGTCAGCCACCATAAGAAACGCTTATTGTGGCACATAAAAAGGGCAAAAAGACACTCCTATATACAAACTAATCTTAGACATTGCCTGATCTTTTCAGGCACTACTCACCCATCACACAATACACACTCTGTCTGGCGTGTCATTATGTTGACACTGAAGGGCAAGTGTCAATTTAAGACAAAGTTTTTAAAACCCAGTTGCATATTCCACCTACCCCTATCTTTCAAGGCAAAATTAATTTTAATTTAAAAAATACAAGGTAGCCAGAAGAAAAAGTGGAATATGTAAATCAAAAGAAAGGTAAATCATCAGAGGAAAGGTAAAACATACAGTGAGGCATGAGGCTACGATTAAAAATACATCAATCAACTCAATAAGACATAAAAATTGGTTCATGAAAAAAAATTAAAAACACATCACTACTTTCTGAAAATAGACTTGAAAATCAATTTGTTTTCTCTATGCACTGGACTGTGGACTGATTGGGAGCAAGATACAGTTACTGTGCTGTCTGAAGTTTTTATGATCTGAAAACATGCTGTTGTTCTCAGCCCAGGTACTGACAGGAGATTCACCATTTTTCCAGGAAGTTTTGCTATTAGACTAAGCTCTCTTACTGCAAAGATCCAATAAATTCCTAATTCTATCAAATATTTGGCCAGCCCACCAGCAAACAAAAGATGGCTACAAATTCTAGTCTAGAATTGTGTTAGCACTAGTCAATATTTATGTATTTAAGAAGATGATGTTTCCCAGTCCTTAAAGAAAGTGGGGCAGTTTGGCAGAACAGAGCCATAACTCAGAAAAAGACATTTTTGTTTTATTTGCATAAAACCAAGGAAGACAATGCCAGGATAAGTGTTTCCTGTGGTGGCTGAACTGTTTACATTGTGAAGATATTAATGGATGAATAATATCAAATCACTTCTTCAAAAACATGAAATAAGAACAAGCTCAAGATCTTACCAGGAAAAATATTGCTGAAATACCAGCCACCTACAAAATATAAAATGGAGTCAAAGAGCATCATCCAGCACATCCATCCAAAGGTCATGTATCCTCCTTGTGCCATTGACTGGTGCACATTATCCCACTGAATTCCTGGTAGTAATAATAATGATTTTTTTAAAGGTCAAAGCTAAATCAGCACAGCATTACAGATCACAAACACATGAACATCACACACTTCTGGGTATTTAAGCACTGGCACAAGACAAATCATAGTTAATAACAGTAATCCTAATGAACAGAAAAAAATACTATGCCTCTACAAGACTGTGTTTAGAACAGCAGGTGACACTGCTGCTGGGAAAATGAAGAGAAGCTGTTGTAGAAAGGGCCGTTTATGAAGTTGTAGCTGGCCTTTAATTTGGCAAAAGAAAAAGAAGTACAACACTGACAAAATGGAGCACTGACCAATGAATCAGGCTTTAAGCCGCTCTACTGATATAAAGCAAGGATTGCACAAAATTTAATATCATTTTTATAATGCTAAATCTGAACATTTAAATCTGTGAATTCTAACTAAGAAGCATTGTGTACATTGACTGCATTCAGAGGTAAACAGGAATGAACTCACTGAATAATTGCTTCATAAAATTATTACCTTGCAGAAGACATGAAAGGAAAAAAATGTGCGAGCACTTGTGCTACAGAAAGCTACCATACTGCTAAATGGAAAACAAAAGTAACAAACCTGTACATTTATTAAAAATATTGCTGCTTTTTTTACTGAATATGCTACTTTGATTACAGTAGAGTGGGTCATGATATTACTTCTACAATTTTTTTTCCACAATTGTCAAGGAAAGTAGTTTTTCCCAAAACACATATTACCCTTCCTTCAGTAAAGAGGAGTCATTTTGATGAAGTGTCTGGTGGGAAATTTAAGCAATATTTTCTGCAATTGTCTCTTCCACTCTTACAAACTGTTGTACCATTATGATATTTTTTTCAATAGTTTGAAACATCCACTGTCATTAACATTGGTCTTGTCATAATAGTTAAAAAAAGGATTACATCCCTTTAAGTACCTAAACTTTATCCAGTTTATTAACTCATTAGAGATTTTTTCAGAACAGATTGAAAAACATTTCCAACTGTAATTTTTGAAATAGCAATTACACACAAAGCTTTTCTCCTAACTCAAGAGCTTACCTATTTCTTGGCCCTCAAAATATGTAATGAAAAATATTCCTTGCCCAAAGGCGGTTGTAGAAAGAAGACACTACAACATCAGAGGAGAAAGAGTATGTGAGCCTCAAATAAAAACATGTTGTTAACAAGTTCCATGAAAATATATTGTGATACTAAAGTCAAACACAAACTAAATAGACCTTTTTTTTCTCCATATAGGCTAATGGTTGCTATTTCATGTTACGTTTTAACCATACTCCCCCACAAGCCTTAGTAGTATTTGCTCCACTGACCTCATTATTAATACTGAAAAGTCTTATTTTATCTGACCAACTGACACTGAAAAAAAATGAGCATTTTTAATGGTGTATGAATTATTCCATCAGCTTAATTTAGTGAGTTATTTTGAAAAAGTAAATTCATAATGTGTGAAATATGGCTTTCCTCATACGATGGTGATATTTGATGTCACATTCAGGGACATAGTAAGTTAGGACAGTACAAAGACACAAAACAACCTGTGGAGTACATAGATCAGGAAAGGACCTGCAAGAACCTACACCAAAGAAACATATACCTCAGATTATATGGTTGGACACACTTCTGACCTATTCTCCAGTTATATTAACAGTTTTTTTCCAAACAAATAATGACTTTGAGAAGTGGCATGTCATTAGCTGATCTTGAAAATACACTAATGTTACAAATATTTTGAGGTCAAGACATTAAAAGAACTCATGAGTATCAGGAACGCATTTTCCTGATATTTTCTGTAGGTTTATAAAATTGCCCTGACAATTTATTTTTCATTCCTTTCAATCTTCTAAATATTTTCTCAGTTGGAGATTTATTAGTTAGAGATATATTTCCAATAATCACAAAGAGAAACGTGGGAAAAAATATATGCTTTATGGTATGAAGTTGTGATACTATGGAAATTCACAATATAGTTGGTAGAGAAAAATTAGAAAAGAAGCAATATTTACCATTATAATCTGGTTGGTGAAACCCAGCTGGTTCTGCAAGACCAACAAAACTATGTAGGGTAAAAAGCTGATCATATAGACAAGGCTGGCACACAGAGCTGCTGTATTGGCACTGCTGAAAAATGCTCCCAAAAAATAGCTTAACATGATAACTGTTACTCCAAATTCCAAGAGAAAAAGGAAGATAAGAAAGCCATTGCTATAAGCAAAGATACCACTCGCTTTTAAAATGATGGCCAGAGCACAGCTGCTTACTGTGAGCACAATGACATTTTCCAAAAACCAAGCAAAGAAATGAATGGCTGGATACACACCCATTGTCTTCATATACTGCAAGACAACACAGGAGAGTGAGTTAAAGCTAGGAAACAAACTTTCTTTTTGTTCTTCTTCTTTAAACAAAACGTGTTGTCTCCAAGACACTACAAGTTTCCCAAAGGGTGTCATCTTCCCCTTAAATTTCTTGTTTCTTTGCCTTGCCCTGTTCTCTCACCCGAATCAGATACATGATTGAGGAGGGCAGTCTCTGAGATCGTCACACATGGTCACAAAGAGTCACCATGCTCAGCAAAACTCTCCTTTGCTTAGGGTTTTAAGAACAGATGTCAGATTACTGGTTCATCCTGTATGTATTACCAGGCAAATAATAATTTAGCCAGGTATGGATTACATCCCTCTTTTTCTAAAAAAGCCTGTCTTTAGATACAATCTAATAAAACCTCTGAAGCAGTTCTCATAAGGTCATCAAAATTAAAATTAACTTGATTTAATATTTTGGAGAATTAAAAAAATTTTATCTTGCAACAGAAAGGTTAGAGAAATTAGATAAATCCTTAATAATTCCCTAAATTAAAAATCCTGCTCAAGCAGTAATTCTGCTGATAAAATGAAACCAGTGTAATTCTTTAAAAAGTGTATTTATCCCTATAGAAAATGTATCACAAGGACCCGGCCCTTCCAAATGCTCAGCACCTGTGAAGACTAGCTGTTTAGAGAAGCAAATAATTGTCTCCTTTTCTTTTGGTATGCAATCTCCCTTATATTCCTGATAATTACACAGTACATAACAAACTCAACTTATTTTAGGCAGTTTTATCATTACAAACTACATAGAGCAAAATATGAAAAATAATCCAAAACAAAAATCATTCCAATAGAAAGGCCTTCCCAAATAACACTTTCCACCTTCAACTTTTGCTTTTTGTCTCATGGACAATATTTGCATACTGATGCTCAAACAATGTTGTGAATCTGAGTTGGCAGCTAGAACTAGAGCCTACTGCCCAGAGGAAACAAGTGAAAACAAAGCCATCTGGATTATGAGCACTTAAAAGTACCTCACGACTTTTGCATTTCTGTGCAAATGAGTAAGTTTTCTTTTCAGAGGTTAATCTGCCTCTTACCTCTTCAAGGTGAATTTCTCTTTCATAAACCAGCTTGCGAACCATACCAGCAACTGAAACCATCCATGTTAACATCATCATAAGTGGGAAAAAAAAACCTGTGTTGTTCAAGAATCTATGAAAGAACAGATATGAAAAGTTGTCAGCTCACAAAGATAAACTATTTTCTAGCAGAATGTTAATAGCTTAATACTGGAACTGTTCTCAAAATACGGACAAAAGATCTGACATGAAAAAAAATTATTCCTGTTCTGATAAGAATTACTTATTTTTTGTAACAAACTAAATATATGTATTAGTACAATATTATTATATATTATAGTATTTTAAACCATACAACTGATATAATTACTCTTTAGGACTCCAATCAAAGTCAAAAAAATTCAGATTTGTGTCATTGGCAAAGTAATATATTTGGACAGCGAGAAATAACATGACTCAGTCAATTTTCACTCCACTTTAACAAATTTATTACCACTGACTAATTTTAAAATCTAATAGTTGGGATGTTTTGATGATTTTACAAAGAACAACCCTACACTTTCATTTCATCAGCTTCACCCTTCAAGGGATCAGTTTACAATTTGTGTACAGGAATACTAAGGATTTAAAAGGCATCTCAGAATAATCTAAGTTAATTGCAGACTATGTTGACACAGCCTCTGTCCAGCAGACTACTCCACATTATAGCTGCAAACATTTTGTAAGGGGTCGTTTGCCAGACAAACGTTGTATAACATGTTATGTTAAACACAGCTGTTGGAAAACATTTGCTATGCTGCAATACTCTGATACTGGATGTATTTGTTTAAGCTTATGCAGAGATATACATTCACCCAGTGAAAATTTGGAACCCAGTAGGACCCCAAGCTCTCTAGAACTAATCTAACAAGAATAATACATCAAATTAAAAAGCTGAAATTTTACTTACAGATCACTGGTATGACAAGGGTAAGGCATGGCTTGCACCTGAATTGCTGTCTCTGAGTTGTCTGTCCCAGTCTGTGCTGAAATAATTGCCCTTTCAATCATGTCTTGAAGAGGAATAAAGACATGGTTGTATTTAAACCCATCAGCTGGCAGTTTGTGGGGATGGGATTTCCATGTTGGGTTTTTAATCAAATCTGTTCTCATGCTGTAGAGAACACTGGTTCTAATTGTATATGAAATGTGTCTTGGAAGGAGATTGCTGGAATCTTGCTTCTCATCCTCTGGTGTGTTGAAGATGATACCTGACACAAGAAGAAAGGAAGATGCACAATTAAGCTTATATAGTTTATGCTATTTCCATAGCTAACTCATGGTTAATTACCATATGATATAGGATGCATTAATCTGTCAGGGCAGGTGCCCAAACTTTCTTGATCCCAAGCCCAAAAACGGCAGGTTTAGGAGACACATTTTTCACATTCATGAATATGAAATGTAAAAGATTATTCACATGATAAATGGGTTCATAAAAATCATTTTTATCTGAGGTGATTTGTCTTTTTTGAACTGCAGTTTTCTCTTTGCATCCACATTTAGCCTTTTGGAGGGAGACTGATATCTGTTCCACAGTAAAAGCAGTAGCCATAAAATTTGTGTAAAAGATAACAGCTTCCATAAGCAGATGACAAAGTAAACAGTACCAACCCACTAAAATTTACTCTGATATTAATCTTCAGGTAAGTTGCAGAACTTCTAGTTTAGCACAGCATTTATAAAATTTATACATTTATAGAATTTATAAAATTTATAAATTTTAGAATTTATATGTTTTTTTTCTCTAGCTTTGTATAAAGGAAAAAAATTCCAACCAAACAGATGAAAGCTCAATATGTAGCTGTAAAGATGAAGCCAAATACATGCTTGTGTTCTCTTCTTGTGTGACCCAGACTTTTTTAGGACTTCTGAATAAATGCTAAGTGCGGCCCTTTTCTCCCCCAGGAAAAGGAAGAGATACCTTACATACCATCTGTTTCTCTGAAAGAAAATAAAATGCAGGATACTTTATTTCTTTCAGCCGATCAATCTCATTTTCCCATTTACACAAACAGCTGATTTTCTAAGACATTCCAGTAAGCTATGAAGGCTCTGATGACCACAAAAAAAATTAAAAAGTTCTATGCCAGTTTAACATTTTTCTATGGAAAGGCATGTATGCCTACATCAGAGCATGTAACACTGACATATCAGAGACATTAGGTTCCTTAAAACACCATCTTCTCTCTCTAATAATGTGAGGAGACAATAAGGCCAGAGTACTGAAAAATACTCACTCAAAATGTCTTGGCTTATATTAGCATATGACTCTTGCCTAGGTAAGTAGATGAAAAATGGAACTAGAATTTGATAATTCCGTTTTCTGAGGGCCAAGATTTCTCTGTCCATTTCATTCCTTAAAGAGAGGAACAGTTTGCCTTCTCCAAAGTACTTCTGAGCAGTTTTCCCTATCTCAAGGTATGGCCTGCATGGGATTCCAGACTGAAGAGTTTCCTTCTTTACAAGTGCTTTCTCATGTCTTCTGTTGTACACTTACAATAAGGGGGACAAAAACCCCCAAAACGACAGTAGGAAAACATTGTGGAACACTTTTTATAGACTTAAGGGGGCCTCTCTTTTGAAAACACTACATGCAATGCACAGCATTTTCTGCAAGACAAGCTTGTATGTTAAGGAAAAATTTTCTTGCCTTTTAAAATCTTTTGTAAAATTAATTGATTCTCAGCAATAAGCATATAATGCAGGAAAAAGACAAAAAGTGTAATCCCAAGGAGGAAAAGAAATTCCTTAAGAATTTATTTACCCTGAATAAACAAGCTAATTTCTTTGAAGTGCTGTTTAAGAGTAAATCTTAGCAAACCCCTTTCTTTCCTCCTTTTCAAAAAGCCAAGAATATAAAAAATAAATTTTGAAAGGATGCAAACCAGATGATCTTGTCATCTTGTTAAGTTTCCTCAGTATCCCACATTTTTTATCTTCTTTAAATATTTATAACCATTCTTTTAAGTATTTTGATAGAAATAAGAGACTCCAGGGATTCATTTGGCCATTCCAGAGTCAAAACAATATAATTAGTGTTTCCATTAGAGCTTCCATACTTACATTAGAGCATTCAAATGTGCTTTATGTTGACTGTATTATATGTGATTTAATGCACACTTTGAAACTGTGTAACCTTAACCTACCTTATCAATAAACACAGACAACTGAAACACATACCAAGCCTGAAATTTTCTGTAAAAATACATTTTACATAAGGCACTTACTAGCCAAAAGATTATTTTCCTGCATGAGTTCATGGGCTTTCTCCTCCAATTTCTCTATAGAGTCAAAAGGCTGGAAGCGGTCCAGTAACACACAGGAAGAGATGTTCACAACAAGCTGTGTCAACAGGTCGATCTGTTTACTCGCTGAGCTGTTCAGCATCTTGTTCGTCATAGTTTCTAGGGTGAGGAAACAAATTGGACCTGCTTAGTTTTAACAATCAAAACAGAAAGGTGTGTTGTCACTCGCAGAACCTATAAAAGTAAATCCTCGTTGTAATAAAAAAAAAAAAAGTAAAAAAAAAAAGAGGAAATTTTAGTGTGAACTTGTGGAAGTGCAGTTCATGTCTTAGTGGCTTTTAGAAGCCCCCAGCTACTCTTTCCTTCAATTTCAGAGGAATAAAAATGTAACAAATTCTAGCAAAGTTCTAGAAGGAGCCCATACCCTTGAAGCTGTAGGCCTTCTAACTTTTATTATGCTTCCATAATTCCTCCCACAAATACAAGGGAATTACTGTACTTCAGACATCATAATAGATATTAATCTCTCATTTAGCAACATATCATCCAGTTCTTTTCTCCTTGATATTGTGAATATTTCAAGAACCGTGTTATATACAGCATATGCATTTTGATAGAAGTCCTACATTTAAAAGCATCTGAAAAAAAGCCTAATAATCTCTTCATTTTTACCTTATCTATAGATCCAGGATGAACATATACCTCAATCAAAACCTGGTTTGTAAAAAACTCAACCTTTGGAGGAATTCAGATCTTTGTCTATTGGTATAGAATGTAGGGATAATGTTACATCATTATGTTTGAGAGAATAATCAGAAGGATAGCATGATCTAGAAATAATCTGAACCCATCTAGATTTAATAAAAACATCTCAATTTTTCAGATAATAAACAATGCTATAAAACATCCAACACAATTTTCCATCTTAAATTTTTCAACACTCACTTGAAGATATAGGCTTTAAAAAGGATAGGTAATGACCTCGTATGATAACAGTGGTGACAGACAAATCCTGGATCATAGACATTACTCAGCATCAGCACAGGAAATATTACAATAGGGAGGCAGATAAGTGGAAAATGTATGAAGCAGTCTGAAGAAGAGGCATGATTAACAGTGAGAAAGGGTAAAGTGCACAAGGAGAAAAAGTAGAGGAACTGACAGTCTAGAATTCAAAAGATAGGCAAGCAATGATAGGGTGAATTCATAGGTTGAGAGAAACCATAACCAAATAGAGATAATAAATGTCTTACTTATGGCTGTCCTTGAGGAGGACAATAAAGGAAACACCCGTGCTGGCCTCTTTTTTTTTTTAACAGCATTAGAGAGAGGAGAATATTCTTAACATTAAGCCCAAATGGCAGGGTTTTCATGTGCATTTTTATATATGTGTATATAATTATATATAGCCCTATATGCATTGTTCTGTATGAAGACAGGTTGTGAGGGTTGGGGTTATTCAACCAGGAGAAGAGAAAGCTCCAGACAGACCTTCCAGATCTTATTGTGGCCTGAAGGTGGCTTACAAAAAAAGCTGAGGACAGACATTTTACAAGGGCATAGACCAGTAGGACAAGAGGGAATGGTTTTAACTGTACAAGAGTAGGTTTAGATTGGAAGAGGATGCCCAGAGAAGCTGTGAATGCCCTGAGCCTGGAAGTGTTCAAAGTCAGGCTGGATGGGGCTCTGAGCAACCTGGTCTAGAAGAACGTGGCCTCATGGCAGAGGGGTTGGAGGTATATCATCCTTAAGGCCCCCTCCTACTGAAAGCATTCTATCATTGAATAATATATACACACACAAGACCTTAATTTAAGATCAATAATTAGCTAAGAAAGGCTTCTCTCATGAGTTAAACGGTTGAATATTTTAGCGTAAGAAGTAACACCTATATTGCTGTTGGCTTGGAGTGTAGTATACCTAAATATTTCTGGGAAAAAAGAGTCTTAATGCGCATAAACTTCTGTACTCCATCATAGAAATAGCACATATATGAAAAAATGCAATCTACATGAACATTTTAAAATCAAGTTCTATAGGGTTGATGACCACCTTTTTTTCCTATTTATAAATGCAGAAATTATAAATCAAAAGCTTGATAAATCTATGTTCACTATTATCTTCATATTTTGTTAAAAATCAAGTCAGCCCTCATCTTCCACTCATAGCTTGTTTAACCTAAATAAGGAGGGAGGAAATAGAAATGGTTTCTGTAAAACCATGGGTAGAAGTGTTATTTAAGCACAAATAAAAAGTTGCTGGAAGAATAAATTGGAATAAATCAGGAATAAGTAAATTTAGGTCAGAAATTAGAAGAAAGTTTCTAGTTATCAGAACATTTGAGTGGTGGCACAGTTTTCAGTGATGGCATTACAGCTGTTTCCTGTCTTCTAAAGACACACAAAATTATTTCGTTACAATGAGGGCAGCAGAGGGGTAGCACAAAAAGAAAACAAGACCAAAACAAGCAGCTTTCCTATCACCCTGGCTGTTAACACAGTCACAAGTAGCCCTCTGTAAGGGACAGTCCTTGACAGTGAAAAACGAAAATTCATATCGGGGAGAAATCAAAGAAGAAGGACCAGAGAGAGACTCAGCAAACAAGAATTTGAAAGAATTTGCAGCACAAACACCTCCCAGTGCCCCCTGAAGGTTTGTAAGGGCTGTGCCCAGCTCACAAGTTCTAGTGGGACAGGGTTTATATAAGATCGGTAGGAAATTATTGCAAGTTGCTGGGCTGCAAAGGCAAGCATAGAGGAGGAAAACAATTGCCTTGCCCCCACACAGCTAGCTTAGAAAGTAAAGGGACTAAAAAGAAAACCACAAGCTTTTCAGTCCTCAGCCTAAATATTGACCTTGCTCCACCTGAGTAAATCTGATGCAGTAATCCTGCTAATAGTTTTAGAAATTGATAACCTTGCAAGGTGTTGCAGCATGATGATTTTATAGAGACATTGGAAGAGTTCTACATCTGTCCACTCTGTCCATCACACTTTACAGCAGGAGTAACATGGAAAAAACCATCACTAAGTCTGTTAGCATTTTTTATATTATTCTAGAGAAATAAAAAAAAGATACAAACACAAGCACCATGTTTTTGAGGATAATTAAAAGTCATCTGTATGAGAGTGTAGATGTGATAAGGGAATATTTGCTTTAGTTAGAAAGCATAATCACAGAAATCAGGAGACTTTAGAAAGCTGGAGCTTTGGATGAAAATAAAGATTGTGAGTGGTAAAACCAGTAACATGAATGTATTCAAGGTTTTAATTGGACACAAGGTAATTACAGGACTAAACAGCTGATGCAACATAAGATTAACAAATTTTTTTAAAAAACCAAACGAAAGAACAGAGGTTTACAGTTAAGTTACATATAATTATGGCCTAATAAAATGAACAAAAAGTAGACAAGTTAAGATAAAAATAAGAGTGCATATCATTTTTCAACAAGTAAAACAACCAAGTGAGTCTACACAAAGAAGTATAATAAATGCAGAGGAGTGCTCTGCACTTTGGAGAGATCAGTTTCACAAAGGCATAAACGCTCTTGTGATCTATAGCCCCTACTGATTTTCAGTTTTTATATGATGTTAATTTTATCATCTGTATTCACTTCAAATAAGGAAATTCTAGTTTCATAAGCCACTCTACTTAAATCATATTTTGTCTTGACCCTCCAAACTATTAACCATTCGTTACATATTATCAAATATCCTTAGTTCTGTTAAAAAGCTATAGCTTGAGAAACAGGTACAGATTTCTTTGATGTTGTCTGCACCAGTGAAGATGTATCTGATAATTCCAGAGACCATGATATCTATTTAATGGAATATTGTTTGTCCATAACCTATCATGTAGTTCTCAGTATTAGGTCCACACAAACAAAATCCAGCCATTACTCAACTAATAGATCAAGAAAGCTTTGTTTCCAGCACGCCCTGAAGTTTAAGAGACTTGCTCTTTCCTCCATCCTCTCTTTCTAATATGGTGATTCTGTGGGCTTGGTTTTTATCTGTATTACGATCCATCTTCACCTCGAGAGCTGAGCTGTGCCCAGCCCAGGCTAACCAGCAGTTCACTGGTTAAGAAAATCATCTGAGGAGAAAGCAGATTCAAATTTGAGTCCCTTGCCTAAGGAAGACACAGTGCCCAGATTCTTTCCAGTTTGAATTCCAGATGCCATTTACGATTTTTCCTATTGAAAGGATGCACAGGCAGTCCAAGTCTTCAAAAAAAGCCTTCAAACCAAAGCCAATTTCAACTAAATCTCACAACCTGTCTGCTAAAGAAAAGCCACACCAGCTCACACCAACTGTACTACTGCCCTGAGCTGGTGCAGTCACAAGTTAGAATGAGAACACACTTCATTTACAAGCTCTCAGGAGCCTCCATGGATTTTGTCCATCTCCTTCTTAGAGACAGATACTGAAAACCAATATAAGCTCTATTTCAGGTACATTTATTTATTTTATCTGTAGTCTTAATACCTTGACTGTAAAGCACACTTAATGACTTACATTTCTGTAAAGTCAATTTTTTCAAAGCAATGAGGATCACACAGTCCCTCTATGGGGGTACCCGAGAGCTCATCACTGCCCTCCTGCAGAAAGCAATTGGAACAGATTTCTGTTTGGCTCATAATTATCCTAACACTCACTGACCTGAAACCACACAAATCTGTCCTTTCTACCACAATCCTCCTCTAGAAAATACCCTGCTCCCTTTGTCCAGGATGTCACACTGTTATTGCATTTTATCCCATTTTTCTCTGTTTCTCAAAATCATGAACTTTTTTTAATGGCATTGAAATCTGCTTAATATAGAGTTTTCCTTCTGGCACATGCTGGCAAGCATTTTAATGATCATGCACCTACCTTACTGACAGCTGGACATACTGAATTTTTTTTCAATTATCAAGTTCTTATAAAATCGTTAGTATTATGCTGCAAATTTAAGCTACTTTTCTCTTCTCCTTCTTAAATCCTTGAATATCCCAAATTAGTCAAAATAATGATTCCCCTTGGGCTATCCACCTAACCCTGGAAAATCTGTCTGACTGCCAGGGCTCACCACCAATGCAGAAAGGGGGCAGAGCCAGGGATGGCTGTGCCCAGGGGGAGGCTCCCATGAACCAGGGCCACTCCTTTCCCACCAGAGCTGGGACAGGGCAGCTCCCATCATTTCACACCTGCTTGTGCAGCTGGGCACACACTGCTTCCCACGGGCTGGTGTTCTGCCCCAGCATCATCCCCTGGCCCCACTGGGATATCCCAGGGCTGGGACTGACCCAAGTTGCTTCATATTGACAGTGCAGCTCCCTGGTTATAACCCCCTCTCAGGCTTTTCTGAGGCTCAAGGACACTACACACAGTTGATTCTGGATAAGCGGAGGGAAAAAATAGAGAATTTTTCATCAAACACACTGTATCTAATCTCATTTTCTATTTATTTCCTTCAAAATTGACTACAAAAATATACTTCTACCTAATGGAACTGTGGCTACAAGGTTTGTATTTCCCTTCACTCCTGTTAACTATGTTTAAGACTCTCCCATGACACTTTTCCACTTCTGACTTGTTACCAATACAGTTTCAATATTTGAAATTCAAATTATCCAGTCAACTCAAAAGAAAAAAGACAATTACATTTGAAACTAACTCAAGAGGGTAAAGTCTCTTATTACTTAGCTTACATACCATTTAGGTAGGTAAAATATTCAATTTCAACTAAATGTAATTCTAAGTTGAAGTTTACCAAGACTAACCATAGCATGTACTTTCATATACGTACCATATGTTTGCATTTTTTTAAGGAGCTTTTCCATGTTGATATCCAAATTACTTTCTATGAAATGCTTTACAAAATTGTTTTTCAGGGCTTCCTGAAACAAAAAGCGATAGATGTTACCTTGGGTTTATCTTCTCTAAGAAAATACAAAATATGTATATGTATTAATGTTCAATTCCATTACCAAGATTTCCTGCATGAATTGCAGAAGTCATTTAGCTTCTCTATGTCTTTGATCTTTCCCTCCTAAGAGGCTAACAGCATATATTTCAAATAAATGGCAAGGGGGTGAGGAAGAGATTTAGGAGAGGTGACGGGGGAGGCACAATTATGTAGAATTGAAAAAGCCCAGCAATAAGGATATCTTTTTCCTTTATAGTCAATATTTTCCTCATCATTTTTTTTAATCAGTTTCATATTTTGATGGCAAACATAAGCAATGAACAAACAAGTACCAAGACCATTTTATTTCCCCTGTTGATCAATGATACTGGAGATAGTGAGGGAACAATGCTTTTAAGTATTTTCACGTCAGAAGTTTCTCAGCATCAGTCTGTAGGTTCATGACCTAAAACTAATCTGCCTCTTTTTCAGCTCTTTTTAAATCTGAAGTCAGATGTATGGGTAGTTTTGCATGTATAGAAATACTGTCTAGATCGAACAGTAAAAAGTTGGAAAATAGAAAAATTTCCCACAGTTCACCAACCTGCAGTCGTGACACTGTGAGAACATTTCCACTGGTTTTAAAAATCTCAGACATCCTAAGCCATGTCTCAGAATAAGTCTTCAAGTTTTCCACAAAACCAAAAGTGAAATTGGCCTGGGGGAAAAAAATATTTGGAAACAAATGAAGTGAAATGTGTGCAGAGTAAATTTTAAGAAATTGGCATGCTTTAGATCTTCTGCAACTCCTTTCCATTCAATTTTGATAGTCAGCAATAATAGTATCCATGTTTTCTTTTTTTTTCCCTAAGAAATTAAAAGCCTTTTTTCCGATACCAAGCAATCAAAGTTTTCCTGTGCTCTGTATGTTTCCCACCTGAAGTATCATATAGACTTCTTTATCTTACAGTGTCTCATTCATACAGAGTATCATGGGGGTGTGCTTGAGAAAGAAAGAAGAAAAGCAGCTAGAACATATTCAAAAGAAAGCCTCTCAGTTGTGAGTCTTTTATTCAAACTAGTTTGACTGAGTACATCATAAAACTGAAATTTGGAAGCACAGTCTGGACAATAAATACAACTGATCAATCAATCAGTTTCAAAGTATTCTCACAGGGAAAGACTTGAGTAAAGGAAAATATTTTCTGTCCCAGGCAAGCACAGGTTACAATTTCTCTCTTAGTAAACAACCAGCAATTTTTTTCTAGCCTGTTTTAAACAGATCACAAGTACACTCAAGACTAGAAAATATTGCAGTATCTTTTTGTTTAAATTGGTGTTATCAGTCACAGAAGTGCATTTAAGAACAATCCAGCATAGTTGTTATGATAAAAATTGTGACATTTTCCAGCAGAGTGTCTGCAGTGGGTTGTAAACTCCAATTTGGGACCACACTTTTTGCAATAATTCCTGTTGAAAGTATACAATTTCTGCCGTAGCATTTTAAGTGCCTTTTGCAAAAATCTCACTCTTAGTACAACATGAGAAAACAATTTCTGGTGTCTCTTTCTTCCTCTTTCTAACACAGAATGCCCCAAAGAGACTTTGCATGCAATTTTGTTTCCCTGGAAAACATGACACATTTAACTTCTATGAGAATCCACATTCCACTTTAATGAGTGATAATTTATTAGTGTTAAGGAGAACGCGATTCTAAACGTTAAACTAAATCTGCTGTCAAGTAGACTAAATAAGTTCTTCTGATCAGAAGTAACACAGAAACGTCATGGATTGAAACTCCCAGACCAGGCACGATGGTGACAAGATGAAGGAGACCAGGAAAGCTGCAAGGGTGGCAAACAGGGAATCTGGGAGATTGCTTTCTCCCCAAGACAGAGCAACCACAGGTCACAGCAGAACACAAGGAGATCAAACTTTCAGACACCACTAGAAAGTATTATACCCAGCAGCTTGTATGATCTAGGCTCAGTAAAGCTTAGTGCTTCTTAACTTTATTCTGAACAGCACAAAAGAATAATTTTTGTGCTGAAATTGTTTTCAAAGAGCTACAAAGAGTAACTATAATGTTGTTGTATTCATCTCCTTATACAAAAAATAAAAAAATAAAATTACTGCAGCAGCATGGATTTTTGGAAAACATGAACTTTCTAAAATGTAAGCACTTATTTGAAAGAAATTAAGAGCAGCAAAGTGATAAGTTGTGTGCAGAAGGTGCAGAGTCTAAGGCAGCATAGAGAAACTGAACAAATACCTACTCCCTATAAAAAAATATTTGGGGAAGATCTATCTATATATACACACACACACTAAAAAGCAGGAAACCACTAGAAAACTTCCTTTCAAAGGAAGATTGCATCCAAATAAGCATAAAAACCCAAATCCTAGGAAATAAAAAAAATTTTTAAAAGTTTGTTTAAAAGCAGTTTGGCTTTTTCATTCATGACCATAGGCTTTGGGAAGTTCCTTCCCCAAGCAGAAAACTCTTTGGAGAATCTGTGTCTAATAGAAGCAGTGGTAAAAAAAAGTCATACAACTTAACAAAATTAACAATACATACTTTCCAGGAAAAGATAATGTCCAGTCAAGAATTTCAAAACTACTTGAGGATTAAATAGCTGAACTACTCATTGTAGTGTAACCTCCTGATTAAAATTCCCTTGTTATGAGGGAAGTGTAAAATAGCAAATGCAAAGCTATTTATAAAGATGCTAAGGGAACCTGATGATTGCAGACTAATAATTCTGAAACCTAAGTTTTAATTTTTTTATACTACTAATAAATTACAATAAAGAGTAGTAGTAAATAGGGAATAAAAATAATTAGAGCTGGGAGATAAAAACATAGACTATTAAAATAGAAGGTGCCACAGTCTGAAATGGAAGAACAAGGAAGTGAGGAAGAAGTAGTTGATGCAGAACTCACCACAGGCACAATAAATACTGGGAATTTATATAACCCAAAAAGCAAGTGGACAAATTAAAGCAGAAAAGTCCAGGCAAACCTGACAAAGTTTTTGGAAATAGCAAAAAATTCTTCAAAAGTGATTGCTGAATATAAGATCAGCTCTGAAAATCTTCTGAAATAAGAAATGCTTCCATAAGATCAGTTAATCAGTGACAAAAATCAGCTTAGTTGTGAAAGCAAATAGCAAAGACATCACATGTGGCCTTTGAACTCCTGGATGCCAATTGGCACTGAACAGTTTTACCCTCAGTCATCACCACAGCCTGTTTCTGTGATTGTCACCACCATCATTCCACACAGCAGAATTGCTGCCTTCTCTGAAGCTCAAACCCAGCAACTGCACAATTTATCAAAGAACGGTCAATTACACACTGTAAAATGTAACAGTCCATGTGGAAAGCTTAGAGAATATGTCAGAGTATACAAACAGTATTTTTCAAAGCTTTAATCTGCTACTTTTTTCTTCTAGTAAATAGAAGGCATGTGGCCACATAGTCTAATGGAAACTAGAACTGTTCCAATTTCAGTAGGAGATCAGGATTGTAGGGGCTACAGGGTTGGAGTTTAGTTGCAACATTTGAGACACTAGGGACAATACTTTGCATTTAAACTTTGTGTTCAAGCAGTAGCTGAGATTTCTGTAATAAAAACAAGAAAATGTCCCACTACTTTCATGCTTACACATAAATAGATACTAATTCACAACTCCTTGTTATATTTACAGGACTGGGAAGAGGGGCAAGACCGTATTTACAGAGATTTCTGAATAAGCTGATGGAACTTTTGTGAGCCTGAAACTATATAAGTAGAATAAGAGTTTCTATCAGAAACCTTTATTGTTCCAGAGCACTAAACCTCAGCCCCCAAAAAACAGCCAATCAACCAACAAACCCAAAAAAACCAACCCACAAGCCAACTTTTCTGAACTGCATTATCAGTCCAGATTTCACTAAAAGGTCTATGGGGGAATATGTTGTATGTGAAGATATCCATCTTTCCTACAGTTGTTTTTAAGAATGGAGGTTTGGTGTATTAAATGGCAAAAAATTGTGGAAATATTTTAACTGTTATATTCAAAACGTCATTGTAACACAGATATGTAATACAAGTTCAAAAAGATATGCAATATTTATCCTTTCTTACATCTTGTTCTTTATAGAATTTCCATCTAGAAACATTAAGAACAGCTTTATTTTTAAATTACTAGAAATTTTAAACTAATTATGCTGTACTCCAGAGCAATAGCCAATGTTCCACAAATTAAGTTATCTAACTGCAAAATATGAAATCACTCAATCCTTTTTTCCAATTCAGAACAGAAACTATAAAGTTATGTAGTATCTGCTATCTACAATGGGGTGTTTGGCTTAGGATTTTGCTATTTTTTTAGAACACAAATCAGAATATCATAGTTTTCAATTTACAGAGAATATAGTTACCATCACATTTAAAGTCTTTTTGTGTACCAAATACAGGCAGCAATTTTTTTTCCAAATTTCCATTCTTGCAATAACTAATATTGCAGGGTAAAAGTCAGACATTTAGAAGATCAATGCAAAATTTGCAGAGAAATCTGAAAGTCATAAACCCTTCACTTACAGAAATACCTCTAAGTTAGGCATGAAGAAATATGTCATTCTCAATAATCACACTCAAGACAGAACACCAACCATAACAAAACTGCAGAGATAGTAAAACTCTTGAATACCATCATCAGCATCCACACGTACAGCACTGCAGTCATGACTGGTCACTCAGCTACTGGTGTTAGAAACAATAAGTAAGGATGAACTCTAGGTTTCTTAACTTTTTTTTTTTTTTTTTTTTTTAATTCAGCTCAATGACTCCATAAGAACAGGCATTTTCTCCCTGGGGGCATCCCGTCCAACATGTCCCTGTGCTGCCCCATTACATTTCCCATGATAAGAAAACGTTGAAGGCAAAAGCTTCCCCAGGATATGAGCACCCTACACCGGGATTCAGCATTTCACATTCACACAACACTTCTGTTAATGTGTCCCTTTCAACCTTTCTATAGGTGGTTTAAAGGACTTTGAGCAAAATTCTGCTTTTCACACCGAGTGTGAAGTACTGTAACACGTAGGATAAAAGTTAAGAGAAGCATTAAGTTTAAAGTGGGAAACAGGTGAGACCTCAGAGTTGGATCTATTTTTCTGAAAGGCAATTATCCAGTTGCTTCTGCCTACCCTGAGAGAAGTGGACCTTTAAAACGAATTACAAAGAAAATCAATACATAGAAATAGCAGCGTTTTTTGATACTCACCCTCTCCATCACCAGGTCAATCATGTTGATGTTTGAATTGTACAGTATCTTCCCATGTAATAAAGGTTTCAGGAAAGTCCATAGCAAAGCCCCATTAGGAGCCTGCAAAATCTCCTGATAAAGCTTCAAGCAAAAAGGAGCTGCAAAAACAAAGACAGATTCACATTTAAGGCGGACAACACGGGTGAAATTGAAATTTTTTTTTTTCAAAGAAATGCTTGAGTCTTATTTTAGAGTCTACCACAGCGCCATGCCAAAAACTGTTACCGGTGTTTTGGTAAGAACACCATCCAAATGCCACTAAACAATCAGCACATGCTCCTATAGAAATTACTTAAACACAATCTATGATAGTATTGAGGATGCAGAACTCTAAACACTGAGGAGGGAAAAAAAAAAAAAAAATCTGAATCTTAAAAGTTCCTCACATTTCTGAAAATCTGCCTGTGAATCCCATTTATCCTAAGTGTTACATTAGTGCATTTTAGAGCAGAAGGACATATGCAAAACTTCTGCCCACAAAAGTGAATTCAGAGGGAAAAGTCACTTTAAAAGAAAAAAGTATTTCCTTTGACACCCTCCATTGTTCTGCAGCTTTGGATTCCTATATAAGAAAGAAGTAGGAATATACAAAATCCTTCACAAATACAGACTTTTCTTTTTGTACAAAATCTTACAAGATCCTATCAAAAAGGAAAAAAATTGTCATGACATCTAACTTCTTGATTTGAAAAATCTAATCAATTGTCTTTTCTATTCCTTAATAAAAACCCATTTTCCTACATCACATGAGGCTACTATTGCATTAGGGTGTATGTCCTCCAGAGCTAGGATCTAAGGAATAGTTTCCAAGATATCCTACTGCATTTGCACTCATGTAAAGGCAGTGAGTTCCTATAAGAAACATTAAGATTTTTATGCCCAACTCATGTTTTGGGAGGTTTTATTCTTTATTACAAGTGTTTACAGAACATCCTGTTTCTAGTGCTCTGAAGAAATATCAAATAATGTCATTAACTCCTCAAGGAAGATAAATCTTTTTACATAATGGAGTACTAGGCCAAAACCACTTAAACTCCTGACAAAGGTTAAAGAAAGAAGTGTCAGAAATGTTTCATTAAGAAAGTAAAAGTTTGGGCAAAGAAGTAGCCTATCTTGAATGAAACAATCATTACTAAACACAATCCTTGCTAAACAATAGCAAAGAACTAAGAAGTTACAAGTTGGCCAGAGAGAAATGTCAATAGACTAAGGACACAAAACTTGCTACTCTGGCTTTGCTGTGATCTTCAGAAAGTCATTGGGAATCATTTCATATATATAAAATACATACAGGTTAATCACTGTGAAGTGGTATGAATCAAGTTTCTGCGGCTAAAATTTTTTTTAATTTTCATTTTCCACTGCCCCATGTACCAATTTGTAAAATACGGGCAACCGTATTAATTTGCTCATGGAAATGTTGGAACTTGCTGATGCCTTAAATATTTCACAGCCCTACAGTAAAGTCTTACAACACAGCAGAGTTGTGACAACATGAAAACAAAAAAAAAAGAAATCAAGAAACAGTGCTTCTGGCCTAAACTGTTTTTGAAGAGGCTAAGCTCCAAACAATCTGCTTAATCAGCCATCCAGCTGAACTTCATTCTTCCAACAGAAAGAAAAGCAGAGCTGCCTGCTTACCACTACATCCCACACATGTAAGTGAGAAGGCCAAAGCAGAGCTCTGGCTCCCTCCCAAGAGTCCCAGCCAAGCCAGGAGCAATTTCTGCCTGTAGAAGCCAGTAGATGACAGTCTAATGTCCCTAGTGACACTCTATCACTGTATTCTTCTCCTGCACAGGGCCACCTGAGCCACTAACAAGGTTACTAACAATATTAAAATTAATCAGGGTAAGTCAAATGTCTATTGAGGAAAAGGAGCAAAGGTGAAACTATATGAGAGCTAAGGGATTTTTCTGAGCACTTGACAAAGAGAATAGGAATATCAACCATTACAAAACTCACTCTGTCCAGAAGGTTTGCAAATTTTACTGCTCAATAATACCACAGCTTTGTGTTCACCAAAGAATGGCAAGCAGCAATAAATTCTCAATCTTGTACGTAAAGATATATTTTTAATGCCAAGTGCTTTAAAAATGTTAATAAAAATGTCTCGAAGACAGGAATATTCTTATTTATTATTTGCAAAGATAGAAAATAAACAGAATCTGTCTCACCCACAATTATCCTATAGCCACTTAACTTTTATTGATCAACACTTTGTGCTCAAGATGACAGTGTCAACTGAGATGTCAGTGGGTATATAAACATTTCAATTAAAGTGGGAAAAATTTCTCTGAACTCTGAATTCATACAGCAACTTTTCATTGATATTTTTTCTTACTTGAGTCTTCAGGAATGCCATATTTTGCCATATTGTCCTCCAAAAGTCCCATGACTCTGGGCATGTCCATGAACAGGTTTGCATTGCTGAAAAATGAAGATTCTTCTTTACACACTGCCTTGATTACAGACTCCAGGGATCCAACAGCTGAACTTCTGAACTGCCCACCTTTCAAAAACTAGAACAAATGAACAAAAATACAGATGAATCAAAGTTGCTTTAAGTAGCTTCAAGGAGTAGCCCTGGTGTTCTGTCAATATTGACGTCTAAGGAGACTGACAAAATTAGGCTGTTGAAACAGCCTATTAGGATGAGGGCCTGCTGTGCTCATTTCTGTTCTTCTGATCTACTATGGGGAAAGGTAATATAGTTTTAATTGCCAAGATACTCAACGAAAGACAGTAGCATAATGTACTACACTGAAATGTGACAAATACTTTGTAACAGTTAGGAAGAAAAGGAATGAAAATATCAAGACAACTGGACAACAGATACTCCAATTCCAACGTCAGTTTTCACAAAATGTGATCTTCCTGGTAGATTATTCCTATGTCACAAAGGCAGCAGAAACAATCAAAGCCATTTTGCTATGAACATTTAAAGTGAAGACAGTTGCTAATATGAAAAAAAAAAAAATTCAGATGCACATGCCCTAAAAGCCTATTTTTCAAGTACATCTTTTAACTTGTTAGATGTGCTTACAGTTTTTGCACATCTTGAGTCATATCAGCATTTATTATTGCCATTTGTTCATGACTAGCATACTTGTAATGAGGAGAGAGAGCAATCTGATTGCTTTTAGGGCTTAAGCACCACCATTCACCACATTCAAAAAGAAAGAAGAACAATAGTCTCATCCTCTGCGCAGCTCCACTTTTCAAATAATGGGCTCGATTGTGAGTGATATCTCATGGAAGCCCCTACAGGTGCAGGGCTCTAAGAGGACACAACTGCAAGGCATCGTGCTGCTGTGGCGCGACTGAAGAGTGCACAGGCTCGCCTGATACTCATTACTGCTGCAGATGCTCGTCAAGAAAGGCATTACTGGAATATCAGACATCATTTGAAGACTCCACAAGTGGCAAGCAGGAAAAAAACACTGTGATATGTCAAACACGCACATTCGGCACTGAAAAAAATTAGTATTTAATCGTTGGAATTTTTTTAAACAGAAGAGTCAATTTTCAAAGTAATACAGCACTTTACATAAAGACATAATCACAGACAGTTTGGAAATTGCGCTGTTAGAAACAGTTTATCCTGATCAATGCATTTATTGAAGTGCCAGGTGCTTCTTTAGTAGTCCTGGAGAAGTATTAGTAAGTGTTGTTTAAAACCCAGTGTTAGCTGCTCCCAAAAATCTTACTTTTAGCATATAGTTTCAGCACAGAGCAAAGAAGGTAAATGATACCCATATTTCATAATACAAGCATCAACAGCCCTTGAATGAATCTGCTGGCATGGACTTCACTGAAGAAATAAACTTTATTTATGCACAATACTGTATAAAATTGGTTATGAATCTTTATTAGTGACTATTTGCACTAGAGGAATAAATGAGGCTTATTTCAGTCAAAGAGCACAAACGTGCTAATTAATTCCAGTTCCAATCAAAATAACTTGAAATTCAAATAATGAATATTTATGTGGTAAGCTGCCACTAACAGGCTAAATCTACTTACTGTCTTTCAACTAAATATCCACTGACTAAAAAAGATGTATTTCTTAAAATTTTTCTTTGATAAAGTATGAGAAATATATGGTATGTATCTCACAAAAAAAAGTTATCTTTGATCTAGTTGGTCCAGTCTAAACTGTATAGTGTAAGGCTGTAATCAAGGCTGATGGATCCAAACAACCAGCCTCCTACAAACTAATCAGTCAAACAAGTCACTGTAACAATTTCATGGAAAAGGAAAGCTGGTATGAAAGATTAAAAGATTATCTGCAACTAGATTTTCAAATGGAGGCAAAAATCTCATAGCACAGGAGCTTCCAACCTAACTGAACAGCTGTATGCCTAAAAAATGTTATGAGTAAAAAAAAAAAAAAAAAAAAAAAAAAATCACATAGAATAGAAATACCAGCTACTCAGAAAAAGAAACTTAAGAGTCATACTGTGCTACAGCTTACACATAAATCTAAAATACATTCTGAATCGTTACATTAGAGAGAAAGAAAGAGAAAAAATAATGCAATTTTCCTAGAAAACTACAAGGAGCTAAAAAATAATTCAAAATTTGATGAAACCTAAGAGCCAAAGGAAACAAATTCAGAGAAATAGATAATCCTGATTCTTGGGAAAAAAATAAACAGAACAAAGTCTTTTTTTGTCCTGAAATTGACAGAATCAGAGGGATAATAGCAAAATTGCTGATTTAATTAAACAATTTTTCAGAAGCCTATCCAATTGAGATGACACTATTTGAAAAATAGAAAAATTATATATACTGAAGAATGAGAAGTATAGTGACCCAGGAAATAATGGATATCTGGTTCTGATGTTTATTAGGGCAAGATACACAATAAATTTTAAAGTGGAGAACATTAAAGACAAAAAATATTTGAGAAGTAAAATTTAATGCATTCTCAAGTTATCATTCCTGACCAACACAACATATTTATGCGGGAGGGCAATTCCTTTCTCCAAAAAAGATACATGCTGACTCAAATGTAGGTGAACCCTGACAACCAATTAATGTTCTTGCTCTAGAAAATATTAATCATCATTAATCCAATTGTTGATTAATAGTGGTGGGTAAAAAATGGCATTAAGAAGATATTGCAGGGAGCCTGTTAACAGGAAAGAAAGCACAGGATTACAGAGAAGTCATTAGTGTTATTCCTTTGAGCCTTGAAAGAAGCAAATTGCCTAAATTTGCCTATCGTTTAATACCAGAAGGCATTGCAGGAGAAAAGAAGATCAGAATTCAATACGGCAAAAAACTCAAATAAGTAATTTAACGCAAATTGAATAGAAAGATAACCAGTGCAAAATCTTATTTATTAACTGAAATCGTGAGATGTTGCTATAAAATGGAGGTCACTGCAGTATATCACAAATCCTTAATCATCTAAGAGACAAAACTGTGTGCAGTTTATGAAAAAGTTGAATGCAAGTTTAGGAGAGTCATGTTAGTAGGTATAGACAAGAATGAGCAGGCTACAAGAGTCATCAGCTGCAATTCCCCATAAACACTGTACACATTTCTTCTTCCAGACATTCAGGATTAGCCTTAAACCAGCATGCAAAAATGATGCTACGCTGTCCTAAGCAACCGAGAGCTTAATATAAAAGAAAAAGCTAAAGCAAAAAACCAAATGCTAAAATAAGTTACTTCAACCTATCAAAACAGAGAAGGATTGCAACTGGCCTTCCACAAACATATAAGCAAGCCATAGAAGTTAAAAATACTACAGAACATTTTTGATTAAAAGATAAACATAGTAGCCACAAATAAACCTAAGTCAGAATTTTATTCATTTGAAACCCCAACAGGTTGTTCTACAATGATAGGTTCAACAGAGAATTTGTTCAAGTTAGTGGAAGGATTACAGAGTGAGGCCACCTCTTACAATTAACAGCATTCAGCAACTCAGGAAGTCTCCTGCAGCTTATCTATTGATGAGTGACAAGCATCCAAAAAATTAGGTATGAAAATATAACTGGATAATTTCAAACAGAAAAACACGAGCAAAAATCATGATTGAAATCAGCAGTGTTTTTCCTCAGGGAGTTACCATTCACTCGGTGTTTTTAACAGTAGAGTCTGGCACCATATTCTAGTTAATGCTGATGGGTAGATAATGAGTTTTTACATCATCTTTTATTACAATATGTGTACCTTTTCAATTCAATTTCATATTTTACAGCTATATTAAAATTATTTCTTCCTTTTCATTTTTCCTTTCAGACAGAAATCTATGTGCATAGTTGACAATTATTTCATTACCTCTTTCATTACAGAAGTAATTTTTTAAAAATCAACTTCAATGTCTTTCTGACAAAGGTCCACTTATTTTACCCTAAAAACAATTACATTCTTTATCTGATAATCTTTCAATGTCACTGAACTACTTTGCTCTTGGCAATCATGAAAGCAAAAATCGAGAAGGATGGACTCTCTTGGAAACAGAAGAAAACATTTAAGGAGGGAAGCATATAAGCAATATATGCACTTCAGTGAAGTATTTATTCGATAGCACAAGCTTAGCCAACATAGAAAAGAAGCAAAAAATAATCAATAATTAAAACTTATTGGAAAGTATAAAAAAAAGTTAAACATGAAAAAAAGGGACACTTTCACTTTAATAGGCTTCAAAATTTTAAAGTTACAGAGACAGAAGAGCTCTTGAAATCAAATATGCAACTTATTATTAATAGAAGAAATAGGCACTGATTATTTTAATCCTCCACAAATTATTAGGTGACCAAAAGCCTCTGCAATTTCAGAAGAAAAATGGATTTAGCAAAACTTTAGAAAATAAAGACTGTCAAAAAGGTGAACAAAAAACGTTAAAACTAAAAAAGAATAAAAATTCCAAGGTTAAATATATGGCATATTACAGGATAATAGGGGTGGTCACTGAGCAAAGCTTAAAATTGTGAGCGGATAGCCCTCTGCTGTTCTATTTGCTCCTTTGCAAACGTTTTTTAAAAAGCACCTTTTGAGAGGTTCTTCTATCAAATAAGGAACTTTGGGATTTTAGTCCAAAAAGAGTATTTCATTTGCTGGAAGGAAAATCTGACACAAACAGAGCTAGTTTAAGGAAAGCAGAAAAACAGGCAAGTATCTGATGAAAATCACCATACATTGCAGCAGCAAAAGAGCTGTCCCAAAAAGAGAGGCTCAAAACCAAAACGGATAGATTCACCAGAACAGCATTTTTCAACATCTCTCTATCACCCAGATTATAAGATCTTGATAAAGACTTCACACTAAGGACAGTAGCCTTAGGGCATTGTTTATTCTCTAGCAATAAACCAGACTGCACCGTTTACCACTGCGGGATCTTTTAGAGAGTTGGAACCTGCTTAGACACAGAAATCTTTCTGATAACTCATTTAACACTAGATCCATCACTGTGCTAGCTGTGTAGACATGCATACAGCAACTGCCCTTAAAGGCAAGGACAAAAGGAATACCCTCACTCACACCATATGCCACTCTTTTTTTTAAATGTCAAGCAGAACTACCACACAAACCCTTTAGGTGACACAAACAGAAACATGTAGCAGATACAAGAACCACATAGGCTGTCTTGAGCTCATATTCTTTAAAAAAAGCAAAGCTATTTCTCATAAATAAAATAAATCTGCTTAAAAAAAAACAAAGCAAACAAAAAAATCACTATTAGCAGAAAAGGTCTGGCTAGCTAAGTCCAAATCACGGATAATAGATGATAATGTTAGTCAGTTGACAAACACTGAACTAACTTAGGCTAGGATTTCATAAGTTAACAAAAAAGAAAATGATAGAAACAACACATCAATAGTCTCAGAATTCCAGACTGCTCAAAAGAGACCAAATGCAGCTTCCTAGGGTTTATGGACTCCTCTCTGCATTCCCTACTTTCTAGGAAACAATTTCTATTGGTATGCCTCCTTGCTAAGCACATATCCCTATCTAATCACCTCACAAGGGGAATGAATTTTGCATATTGAAATTCTACACATACCTGCTGCAATGCAGAGATGTCAAGCACACCCATATTTTGGATTCCTTGGAGGAACACTGGAAGCTTTTCTATGACATGGTGAACTTTATTGAGAAGTGAACTGATACTAGAAACCACATCCAGTAGCATATTTAATACATTGCTTATCTCAGGTGGTATCTGGACCTTGGAAAAGAAGGAAAAAAAAAAACAACACAGGAAATTCCAGTTAGAAAAAAAATGTTTGCCTTTCAATTAAACACTCAAAATTATTGTCTTTTTCTAAAACTGATTATACAATGTTCCTCTAAACCATGTTTAATAAAATTCCTTTTGATATAACTCCCCAGTTACTCTTAGATTAAGCTGAAGAGATGTTCTCCATAATACAATGCTAGATCTGGCTTATGACAAATCATAAATTAATATTCAGATAACATGTTTACACCTGCCAAGTTGAAGAGAGTTTTCCAACCCAAGATGCTAATGCGATCTCCAACCTTATATCCTTTTAGAATTCAGTGTAAATGGAAACTTTTCCTTCACCATTTAAGAAATGTTCAATGCAATAATTTCATATTTTAAAAATAATTTTTAAGTTAAAATAAATCCAGAAACCACTTTTATTGCTTAAGATGACTCCTAAAGTAATTAGCTTTCCTGCCACACTCTTCCTGCCTTTAAATTTTTCATGCCCAAAATAATTGTGTGCATTTTACTACCTACTTGACCTAAGTTCAATTGGATGTTTGCTATTTCCACCATGCAAATTCGTCATTATAGATTTTCTCTATGTTCCCTTTGTTTTGGAGATTAGTTAGATGATACGATAATGCAAAGTGATTCATTTTTACCTGTCTATGCAAAATAATTAAACCATGATAATCTCATTATATAGTTTCAGTTCTTCCTCTGAATATCTATTTTACATCCACCTTTGTCTTCCTACTATAATGTCTGTGCTTGATTTTCTTCTCAGCCTCCACCAGCTCTTAAATAGTCAAACAAAAAAAATAAAAGACAAAAAATCCCCCAAAATTCAAAGATACCAATTAAAAAAATCTTATTTGGCTAAAAGAGTAGCAGAATTTCCCTTCTAATTTAGAATGAGCTGACAATATTTTTTACCCTTTGCTAGGACTTGAACAGGTTTCTGTAGAGCTCAGTAGCAACTCATCAGAATAAACACTGGTTTATTTTCTTCTATTTTTTTCCCCCCTTCTAGGTTTGCAGATAATTCAAGAAGTAAAATCTTTTCTTTTCCTTCTGGTATTTTCAGCTATTGTGGGAAATGTTCTTTCTTTTAAAATTCTATGTCTAACCTGCAGCATCCAAAATACAACCAGACTTCTATGACTTTAGGAAAAAAAAAATTCTTCCTCACAATAAGTATATTTCAGCTTATATTTCATTTTACATTCTGTCAATCAATGACCCCCAAAGAACTGAACTAAATGTCTAACAATTCCATTCAATAATTCTGCTCTTACAGATAAAGCCATTATCTCACTGAATATCCATACTAGATTCCAGATTATCTACAGTTGTAGAGATAATACAGTTGTGCTACAGACATTTGCATCCACAGTATTATGAATTCTCCCTAGAAAATAATTTTGTCATGCTTGTGATGTGAGCTCCTATCTTGGTTTTAGTTCAAATGCTGTAGATCAAGCTTCCACTCTTACAAATAATGAAGTGACTAATTGCATGAACAGCAAACTCTGATAAAGATGAATAAAACTCTCTTTGGCCTCCTGTGTTTTCTGCAAAGTTTTCATAATTAATTCTTCAGTGATAATTTTCCTGAGGAAACATCTATCAGCCTCATTCTTCAACTGTTATATTTTGGGGAGCAAAACAAAGACAAAAAATGCCATATTTTTTGCTTTCATAGAGAAAGAACATCCGAAGAAATAATAGAATTATTAATCTATCTGCCTGTTTCATACTATCTTCAAATAAAAACATCTTACCTTGTACATGATGTGACGTACATTCAAATTTTGTATAATCAATACAAACGTGGTGTATAAGTCCAGTGCTGGTAAAGAACATAATTCTTCCACTACCAGGGAAGTTTTATTGTTTTCAGGCAGCTTTAGCAGTAGGCCAAGCACTTCTTCATTACACCTTCCAGTTAAGGCTACCACAAAGGCACTGTAAAGAACCTATCACAATATATGTGTATTAAAAAAAATTCTCCCTGAAATACATCACCTTTTTTTTATAGTCAATAAGGTGAAAATCTGTGTCACGGTAACATGACAATTTTCAGGCACCAAGAGATCTGAAATAATAAACCATACAGCTTTATATTAGATGGCTATGTTCTTACTTTATACTCCTGGAACATATAAAAAGAGTAAGTATATTTCTTATAAGGATTTACTTTCATTTTTTACAGGTCAATCATTCCTTCTTGAGCATTCATACCATAAGCAGGCATATTTACAATGCTGAGCATACTTCTAGTAGATAAACACCTCTGCTGCAGAAACACCTGAAGATCAAAATCTAGGCATGTGAATCACTAACATCAAACAATATGGTCCTTCCTTCTTTCAAAGGACACAAATTTAACACTTGGGGATGCCTATATGGCACAGTGTTTACTCTGAGCCAGCTCACTTTTGTCAGTTAAACAATGCTTTAAAGTATCATTTAATAGCAGATGAAGGGACAAATGCCTAAGCAGATCTTGGGTGAGACAATAACAAAATCATCTTGGATAATGGCAAGTGCTTGAAGTCCAGATATCTCAGAGATTCTTAGCTATCCATTTGCAACAAGTCCAGAGAAATTACAAGTTTTTTAGGAGCCTGTAGGAGCCAAGGTACAGGGCTGCTTTGTACTGCTTAGGACAAAATCTGCCTCTATCACCTCCATTGAATGCATCTCTTGCTGCTAACAGTACCCAATCAGAGAGAGGATCTGCAAGACAGGATATGCAATTTAAATCTTTAATTCCTATTAACATTTTATTTTCCAACTTCATAATTTGATTTTTTGGTTTTTATTTTGGAACAGAATTTTGCCTTTGTGATTCTACAAGGTTTTATACATATATATAGATTCACTTTTCATCGTGTGCATTCAAGGAACAGAATATGAAAATAATTCTGCAAGCAGTGTAAAATTATACTGATTTGGACTTCTTGCTCGGGAGGAAGTTTGACTGTGATGCAATTTGAAATTTATTTCAAATGTGCCTCACATGAATATTACCCATTTCAGTACATTTTTAACATATTCTATGTTTTCTCCCCTAGGTTAAGTACCTCTGAACTTCCCTTGCAGCTTTCTGCATACCAGAGCTAATCCAAACTCCTACATTCAGTAAATGAATGCTTATAGTCTTCAGGTTACAGGTTTTAAGTGATTTCAAATCACTTCATCACATGCAATGAGCATGGCCAGCACATAACATTTTGACAGAAGTTATGGGTAAATACAATAAACACAAAAAATTGCCAAGTTTACTCTTATTTTTCCAGAAGCAAGCACAGCAGTAGTATATGATCACAGAAATATAGGGCTACAATGGGCCTATAGCTATCATTAGGTTATCAGACAGTGGCTGTATAGACAATAAACATAATGGGCATGCCTAAAATATAACTCTAAAAAGTACTTGTGCAGCTTTCATAATCACTATGAGACACAAGCTTTTAATGCTCCAGTTGGACTGGAGGAGGATTTAAGTACTAAGCAAACAAAAAATTCTGTATAGTTATCCAAATGTGAGACATGTATATACCTAAGCTCTACATATGACCAGCAAAAAGTAAGGATGAAAAGTAATTTGACAATTCAGCCAATTAGCATTATTATTCCAAAGGATCAAAGGTGCACTGAATCCCATTTAACTGGATTGCTTTCAGCTGACTTCTCTCAGTACCATTTAGTGGTATCACAATAACAAGCTAACAATAAAGGCAGCCACACTGCCACAGAAGTAGAAGAACAAATCACCTCTAAGTAGTTATGATGGTGTGAACTGCCTTTTTAATGCTGCACTTTTCACAGACTGAGCTTGTGATGGTTTCTGCAAGCAGAGCATCACTGACACCCAGTGGCTGCTTGACTGAGCTGATCCATTTACACCAAATGTACCCTCAGCTCTTAAACAGACACTTGCTGCAGAGAGAACTTATTAGTTAGCTGGCATTTCTCATGATTTTAACTGATCACTGGGATCACAGGAAAAAGCAATGATAACACACAGCCTTTCCCTCAGAAAACTTACAATACTCAAGAGTCAATAACTCAAAATGCAAGTAAAAAGTAAAGCAAGACAGTGCTAAGATAATGTAAGAACAGTGAGGAACATACAAAATAATTTTAAAAATATATACATAAGACAACTCCATGCCACAATGAGCAGAGATGGTAAGGTACAAAATGATAGCTCCAGAAACCCTCACCTTCTCTGCAATACCAAGACAGCAAAGCTCCAATTCTGTGTCAGCATAAGAGGGTAAAACACTGCTGAAAGTAATGGAGCAGTGCCATTTAGACAAGAAGAATAGTGCTAGTGTAAACTAATCTCTTAATGCCTCACATTATTACTTTGAAGTCCTAAAACCCTCAAGTATTTGACATGAAAGTGATCAGTGAAAATATAAGATTCCACACAAACAACATGGCTTGTTTTGCTTCAACTAGCATACAGTGCTATAGGTTGACCCACTAATATGACACCTCTTTTTGATCTTTTACCTCTGAATGAGAGACACTGGCTTCCAAGAGGGTATTGACAGTTTCTTCAGAAATATTAACAGAGGAACCAATGTCCAGCCTCAACTGACTAATATTCCGCACAAAATCTTTGACTTTAACATCTGGAAGAGGAAGAAAATAGTACCAACAGCACCAATTTGATTAATTAGATTTCCTACAGATTGTATCCTTTCTATTCAATTCACTGAGTGACAATATTGCCTTAAGTCAATGGTCTCCATAAACAGTGTCCCTTTGAATTTAAAAGGACAAAGAAACAGTTATTGTCCTACAAAATTGCACTAGAGTGACTTACAGAAAGTGAAGAAAACTGGAACCCACCATTCACAAGATTAAAATTGCTGAGGAAAGCTGCCGCTGGATTTTCTGACAATTGCAGGTCCAGATTTTCAGTCACCCTGGAATGATAGCCTTAGTTTCACAAGTTATCACAACCAAGTCATTGGCAATTCGATGCATAAAGACCAACTTGGATAGTGAAATAGAACTAAAAGGGGTAATAGGGTCCCATTATTCTCTGTGTGCACACACTGTGCATGCAGTCAGCACATCTACAGACCTTGTGTGGTATTTATATGGTGCAGTGTTCATCATATTTCATGTCCAAATGAGACTGCATATGTAGAGATTGATTCCCACAATGACTAAGGGCCCTAGAAAACAGTAGCTTATGGAGAAGGACAGGTCTAACAAAAATCTCACTTTCATGTTTCTTACTGAACACACATTTTTAAAACCTAGATATACAAATCACTGCAGTTCAAGATGAAAAAAAAGTCTAGCTAATTATATTTTAAGTAATAAATAGTATGCACATATTGGATATGATTTTCTCTTCAGAACTTGACATGAGCCCATGGTATTTAGGAGCAGCATCTAGCCTCAAGTTCTTCTGTATTATTACTGTAATTCACAGACATCATTCAAGCCTGTTATGAAAACAATCCAATAGTCAAACCAGTATATTAGAAATTATAACAATGTCTACTACTAGCTAATTGCAAATTTGAAATACTCCCTGGCAGCATCTTTGCTTAAAATATAATGGTTTTCCCCATGCGAATAACAACTATCAGAAGTTGATTGGAGTACAATCCCATCCATTTACAATCACCATACTGTGTTTCTAACACTTTGAACTGCTGAACTCTTCTGAATGCTTAATATTTCACAAAAAAGGTATTGAGCTATTGAGAGGAAAAGCCATACCAAAAGAGCTATAAATAAAAAATTTAGATATCAAAATTTTGACTTAACTGAAGTCACAGGAAATTTAAAATTTTCTTAGTTGTAATCCAAAGGATTCAGCTGATGGAGCAGCAAGACCTGCTGCAAGTGCTCAGCAAAAAATGTGTTTTTAGAAATATTAAGTTATTCTAAATTACTTAAATAATTTGTGCATTTTATCCACTCAGGTTTAAGTTACATTAACAAAGCTAAAAAAGACAATATTTCTCCTGTAATTACTTAATTTAGAACACAGATATATGCACAGAATAACATCACTAATGATGAAGAACCATTTGGGGTACCAAAATGTGAAAGGCTTTACATTTGCAGTCGTCTCTGGATGTTCCCCAACATTAGATGACATTCACAGCTGTCACTGCTGATATTCTGCAAGGTTCCCACAAAGTTCTCCAAAGCACTGGAAAGTTTTTGGTTTATATATGCCATACTCTCACAATCCCCCTTTTTGAAAGCAGGCAAATATCTTCCAACATCCTGCAGAACACAGTTAGTAAATTCATGAGATTGTGTTACAGTTTGAAGCAGCAGCTCTCAGTAATTAGATGATTCATATTTTTAAATGAGAATATAGGTAAGGTAATACTCTCTTAGTCATTGTATGATTAATTGAGCCTGGATTCAATGTTTTCAAGAACCAAGGAATTTTCAAATATTTGAGTTTTGGAAACCATTGGATTAGGAATTTGAACTATCCTGTCAAGGAGCGTCATCCACTAATAGAAATGCCAACCTTTTAAAATTTGCTTCAAAATGAAATGAGCTGTTCTTTTTCCTTATTTTTTTTTTTATTTTAGTCTGACCGTTTTCATCCTTTTCCAAAAAATTTGTTCTGAACAACATCAGTTTACATTCAACAAACCAAAATATCTGGATCCTCAAAGTTTTTCATGTATTATGCTCTGTATAGTATACACTTTTATATTTTCTCCTGAATATTTACAACTTTGATTTTGCAAGGTTTTTTTGATATTTTCAGAAGTAGGTCATAGAAGGATGGTGACTGCACAAATACATTTGGCCAGCAAAAGTCTGCTTTTAGATAGGAGTAATGCCACTTGTCACCTGTTTAATTTAACACATTGTTGTTCCTATCAGAAAAACGTCCAGGTAGATAAAGCAGCCACACTACTTAATAGAGAGAAGAAGAATTCTATACTAAAAAGCATTACTTTAGTATTTTGTCTGTGTACACACATGCGTACTAACCATAGGCCTCCTTCCAACTCTGGGAGAGTCTCTCTATGCCAAATAATACTCTCACCTGATGGCAATTTCATGTTAAAGAAAAACAGACTGAAAACAACTGGCAATCGTAGCTGTTATTTTAGCTGGAATTATTCTGGCCAGGAAGTTAATTTGTTTCTAGTTTAATTTCACCAATGTTCATGTGAAGATTTAATAGTATAAATGTACTATTACTCTTTAAATTAGCAGAATGATAGAATTTAAAGAAATTAAAATGGGCTGCTCTTTGACACTGATTGACAATCCAATTACCCTAGTTATAGGGAATTCTTCTGGGTATCTCTATCAAAATTATCAGAGTTATACCTATTTAAATCTCGGGTTTGTATAGCCGCAGTGGGGACTCATCATTCAGAAAGTGGGGGAAAAAAGGAAACTTTCATAAGCTTCCAAAGTTAAATGCATGTTGTAAAGTACACTTGTAGGTGAGGGAATCATTCAGACCTGATAATGATCTTGAACCACAGCAATCCCTTCAAAGACAGCGAGGAGCAAGTGACCCGTTAATCCATCTTCACACTGTGTAATGGCACAGAAAATGTTGCTAAAGACAATGGGTTCTTCTGCAAGAGAAAATGTCCAGATTTAATCAGATTAAATAAACCAAATTTGAAATAAAATTTAAAGTTAGCCAACTAATATGGGAGAGAAAATTTTTAAAAGCAAGGAACATCTGAAATGTTAGGCACAGAGAAATATTCCTAACTAAATTTAAGTATCATTTCAGACGACAAGAAAGGCTGGTTTGATTCAATTTCAGTTAGTCTTCTCCATTACATTTTCCTGATCAATAATAAGAACATTCTTATCTGCTACAGAACCAGAGAAGAAAGTTTCTTATTTGCTCTTCATGAGCAAGAAGCATAACTGTGAGAAGCTAAGTGCATTAACTATATCTACCTTTTCCTCAAGCAGGCTCCCCTGATGCTATTTCCCTGTAGGAACACCTGGGTGTTACTAACCTTCCAGTGAGCAGTAACTTTCAAACCCAAACTATAAGGGGAGAAAAACAGCATTACATGAACATTTTCCATATCTTAGCATAATGAACACACATAGAGTGATAGCATTATCCATGGAGGTTGTTTCTACCCAAGCTTGTAGCCAGCATATCCTCGGAAAATGCCTCCTTTCTGCTGTCTGCAGAGGGTTTGTACACGGGATTTTAGTGAAGGAATTTGACTTGACTGCTCATTCAGTACCAAGGTAATTTTTTCAACTATTTTTTTTCCTTAAGTTTGGTTAACTAGGAAGAATAATAAAACACTGCTTCTAAAGCAAGCAAATCTTGATCTTACTCATAGAAGCAATACAATACAATTCCTCAAATCAAACCAAATCAAGCAGTTTTCATCTTTTCTTATTAGGTTGCATAGTGTTTTCTATAACAAATGAAACATTATTAAACATTCCTACAAACAGAGGATTGAAATGAGAATGAGAGGAATTTATTCCCCTAATGTCAGTTCTCTCAATAAATAGACTGCTCTTCAGAGGTCAAGGACAGAACAGAGTTACCTAGATACACAATTTTAGTATCATTTTTCCTAGCTCAACATCACTATCACTTTACTCTGTAGAACTACATCCATCACAGGAGAGTAGAGAAAACAGCCAAAACTGAGTTGTAATCACATTTTACATTTTTTAGAAATTAACTTGGCATAAGACATTAAAGATCTTATCCCTTGTTTTAGAAGGGCAAGTTAATGCCTCCTAATTGCTCTTTGCAATTCTGGGCATAGTTGGCTAAAATATGAACTTGAAAATGCACTGGCTTTTGTTTTCCAAAGAAAACATAATATGAAATTACACTGGGGTCTATATAGAGTCTTTCTTAAAGTGCACAACTTGGGAGCATATACATAAGAAATTAAACAAGGTAATACAGTAAAATTTGTTGAAGGTGAAGTTTTTCAGCTACAGGTAGCCAATTCACTGGTGTGACATGGCCACACAGCAAGAAGTGGGAGATGCTACTTCCTTCAAATACTTGCCCAATTTTCCTTACTGTCAACTACACACTGCCCTGTGGTAAGTCTGGCTCAAAAAAAAAAACAAACCCTGTGACTTGACTCAGCTCACTAGCTGAGGAGGAGCAGCAAGATCTCCTGCTTTCACTGGGATTTTAAATCTATATCAACACTCCAGAAAGAAATCATTCCTTTATATGATCTGCATCAGACTTTTTCCTGCACCTCTGTTGGTTTAATTTCCAGGCATCAGTATGCTTGCCTTGTTTGACATCACCCAAATTACCTTATTTGTACAAAAGTTTGCTTAGAGAAAAGCCTTAACTTGACAACACTAACACATGGGGACTCAGAGCCACTACTGTGGTAACCAACCTGAAAAGATTTTGAGAATATTCAAAACGGTAAATTGCAATTTCTGCAATAGTACGACACTATCAGGGTATAAACGTTCCTGAAGAATGCTGCAGATTTTAGATGCTCTGTAGAAACATCAATAAGAAAACATTATTTTCATTCCAAAGGTACCACAGAAAAATTTCAAGAAACGACAATGCACAAATGCAGTGTTCAATAAGCCACACAAGGATTTCAATATTAACAGTTATTACATTTGTTTGAATTATTTCAAAATCAGAATACAATACTTCCATGTTAAAAAAAAAAAATACCTTGGAGTGCTAGAAAATACCTTCACAAAATAAGCAAAATCGTAATAGCTTCAGAAACACTGAGAGCCCACATAATGTGCTGAGTTGATGGCAAAGAGTAGATAATCAGCATGTAGGGAAAATAAACCACTTTTCTAGTACTTGCTTTCGATAATTTTAAGCAGATGAGGCTAATACTTGACCCTGATGGACAATAGCTTCATGTATTCGCATAAAATTAATCATAAAAGTCAAAATACCACATCAGAGTATCAACTTTAAAATGTCATTTCTCAGCTAGTTTACATCAGTAGGACCAGTAGTTCCACCAGCAAGATACCCTAGAGCTGTCAGGAGCAACCAACTTGTGGGCTCATTCAATCTTGTTTAGAAGCAGTAACTCCAATCTAACAGCCTTGTTATTAAGTAAACCATCAGTAAACCTGAAGCAGTTTCCTCTGCTTCCGGATTACATCTGATCTGAGCAATCAGGCAAGAATGATTGTGGGCTCAAGATTCCTTCAGACACTGCATTTGTTAAACTGAACACTTAATGCAATAGTTGAAACATAAGACATCACCAAATTTAAGTTAAAGAAACTTTGTATAGCTATATTTGGATATAGGTAAAAACCTCCACAGACCACAAATAATTAGGCCCAAGTATTCCTTAACATTTAGCTCCATAAGCAAAAATGACTGTTGCCTGCCGATTAGGAGGGGTTCAGTATTCAAACCTGCAAGGATTTTATAACACCAGTATCTTCAAATAATTGTTTCTGTAATAGTTCCAAAGAAACCAATTCAAGTATCAACACATAAGACTAAACACATATGGTAAACACAAACTAAAGACAATAATCTCATCCACACAATGTGTTCTGATACCAAATTCGGCTGGTCTGAACAATATAAGTTGGAACAAATCTGAAATGAAACACTAATTACCTTGATAAAAGTTTTGATTGAGCTGCTCATAAACAGAGAGCCCTTCTGAAACTGTCAGCACACTTCCCAAAATGAGTACATGAAAAACACTCACCTCAGTTCTGCCATTACATCCTTATTCAAATTCATTAGTAAGAGTTTTATTTTATTCCTGTCGTGTTCTGCAGTAGACTGAAAAAATATTTGCAAAATCTCTTGCATGATCTCCAGAGTTCTGCTTTGGGACTGAGTAGAAGTGTCTCTATATAGGGCATTATAAAAAAATGAATCAACGAAGTCAACTTTATGAAGCTCAGTAATGTTTGTATGCAAAGTTTCTTCTACAACATCGAGATCAGCAAGTGTATGAAGGAAGCTGTTTAGCAAAACTGAAAAAGCAGCATAAGCATTATTCAATTTCTCTCTGCTAAAATGACTGTCATCAAACAATATACCAAGGTAGTCCTTCTTAGACTTATTTTGGAATAGCTCCAGAAAGCCAATAATATCTTTGACAGCTAGCAGTAGGTCATTTGATGAACTTTCATTAGTCATAATGAGAATTAGAGCATGCACTATTTTAGAATAATTTTTATTGCTACATTCACATAGAATGTTCTTCACAATGTCTTGTATATCTTCAAAATTTCTTGATATAACATCTACAGATGATGTGTTAAACTGCTCTAGCAAAACATCAGGAGCCATTGAAGGGGACTGTCCAGTGGCAAATTTTAGTAATTGAAACTCTTGATTTATCACCACAAGTAAGGGTCTAACACTGAAATTCACCAATAAATTTTCTATGCTTGCAACTACAGGAAACCAGAAGTTCTCAAAGTTGTCAGATATACTGATGTTCCCACTTAAAGCTGATACTGTCAAAAGAATTGCGTGTGTCTGGTTTCCAACAGGTGACAGAGTCATTAAAGGCTGAATTACAGAAAGAAAAGAAAGGACAGCTTCAGTATTCAGGAGCCTAGAAACTTCACTGGTCATATTCTTCACATTAGTAAGAGCATTCTTAAGTGATGTTCTTGACCCTCTGCTCCAGCTTAGGCCACCATAAAGATTATCAAGCTGTTCAAGAAGACGTTTGGCCATCTCCATTTCTGACACTGAAATGCTGCCCAGAGTTTCTACAATTTGTAAAGCCATTTGGCTCTTTGGTGTGGAGGAACAATTGATTGCATGTGTATTATTCACCTGGAGTGGCACAGCATAAAGGGATAACTCATTCCAAAAATCTAGCAGCTCTTTGAGAACTGAGCTGTTTATATGATGGAGCTCAGAATACTTCAAAATTATAGAGTTCCATTCTTTGATCTGATGAAAAAAGCAAGTCAGATTGCGAGTGATATCCATCTGAATGCCCTCCATAAAGCAAGTGAAACTGTCATCCAGACTGATGACTTTAAGCTTCTTAATTACTTCAATGACTGCATTGTAATGAAGAGTAGAATTGGTATGTACAAAGTCACAAAGTTGAATAGTGGGATCACTCTGAGGTGCTGCTGTTGTGAGAGGTGTTGCTGTTGTGAGAGTCCAACAGAATGCTGCAGAAAAACAAACAGAGGCTTCTCCAGGTTCATCAGAGATGTCTGCCAACATCTCCAGCAATGTTAGAAGATCTTCTACTTGGTCAGAGAACTCCTCATCAGTAAACATTGGCATTTTTTCTTCCTGAGTCAGTATGAAAGCATATATTTCAGTTAATGCTTCTGTAACATTTCCATGAGCCAATCTTTCTGTAAGGCTGATGACATCAAAGATGAAGTTGAACACATCTTCTATAGTGTAGGGCTCATCTTGTTCAAAAAGCTGTGTTATTTGCCATACACCAGTCAGGTTCCAGTAACATGATATGTTCTCAAATGCATCCCACCAGTCTGCTAAAGTACCTAACTCAGAGTTCTCAAGAGAAAAAGGTTTGATATTTTTAAAGAAATTTTCTAGGTTCTCCTGGACCTGTTTGAATCTACTTATCAAAAACTCAACATCCATGTTTCTCATATTTTGCACCAAGGTACCCACATGCTTTAGAAACAACTTTTCATCTCTTAATGGAAAGAAAGTAAAAGTAGGAGAGTTGAAAATTTCAAGTGCCTTCCTTACCAGTTCAATATTCAGACCTGCTGTTTCTATCAGTTTCTGAGGAAATGTTTTGTGTTCATTCTGCAAGTTTGAGTCAAGCTTTTTAATCATATATTGAAAGAACTCCATCAACAAACTGATATTTTTCCCATGCAAGAAATGTTCAATCTCATTGTCCAAATGAGAGGAGTTGTTTTCAAAAGTTTTGTTTTTCAGAAGACTTTGAATTTCTGACAAAAGTTCCACTGATAAAAGACGAATGTGGTGAAAAGGATTAAGGAGCATCCTTGAGGTCCTGTTAAAACCACGGGTTGACTGACTAAAATGGGTCTTATTTGACATGTACAATGAGCTCCCAACTAAATCACTGATAACAGTTTGTATTTGCTCTCCAGAGTTATTTAAAAGTTTAAAAATCAATTCAAGCACATTAACGTCATCTTTTACATAAAATTCGGGGAGAATAAATTTCAAAGTTTTTGCTATGATATTGAAATAAACACTTACACAAATCACATCAGAACCACCCAGGGAACATTCAGGGAGTGTCAAATTAAAAACCAAATTAACAAAGTCCATCACATTCATTAGTTTAATATCTGTCTCAGCATTTCCCAGAGATTGCAGGAGAAATAAAATATGTTTTGCAGTTTCAAGTTGGGAAGGTGACTTGTATTTTTCAGTAAGATTACTTAATCCATGTATCCATGTGTTACAATCCTCTTCTTCATCCATTGTACTATGAAAGTTTAGAAAGGAGTTAAGTTGAGATGGAAGATTTGTTTGCAAGTAGTTTATGTCTTTCAGAGTATTATCCAAAATTAGTTTGGTAATATTCTGGAAAATGCTGATACAAGCCATATATTTGTCTCGAGTTACAGTTATTAAAAAAGAAGATGTGTCATTTATCTCAGTGAGAATAATTTCAAGTTCCTTTTGAGAGAGCTTAAGAATAGTAGAAAGGGAATTTCCAATGGAAAATACACCAGCACCCTTATCTTCTTCCTCAGATCCTCCAGAGATGAAAGCATCAAGCCAAGAATTCAAAAACTCTTCGTTAACTATCGTCAGTATAGATTTCTGCATTGTGATTATCATAGCTCCTATTGTCTCTAGAACACTTTCGAAATTGCCATCTTTAAGCAAGTTTGTGACATCAAACGTATTGTTAATTACACTTTGAAGATTAACAAGGAACACCTCAAAATCTTTCAAGTCATTTAAATTGCCATGTTCCTGAAATAGAGCTTTTAATAGCTTCATTGCTGCTTCTGTAGCTTCAACAATAGCCATAGCTGTATTATTGCACAGTTCATCTTGAGATACATTTAAAAGGTTTCCAGAGAGATATGCCAAATCATCTTTTAGGCAAACAAAACAGGTTGAATTCAAATTTAAGATTTCTGATGCTTCTTCAAAAATCTCTGTCCATGCCTGAAGCCACGTAAAAGTGCAGTGCAAAGCAGAAGGCACACTTACCTTATCTCCCCAGTTTGGTACATTAGACAGGACACTGTCCAATGGAAGCAGAAATAAGTTATAAACCTCTGCTGAACTCACGTTTGCTAGGTAAAAATCAGTGCACCCATTATTTACCAGGCATCCTGGAGACAGATCAAGAAATTCTTCCAAAAAACATAAGATATCTGTTTGGAGCTCTTCATCTATAAATAAAGTTTTAAGGCTGCTCAGAGTGTCATAAACAACTTGTATATGTTTTTTTCCATTCTGTGCAAGAAATTGTGCCTGAAACTCTGTGTAGTTGTAAATTAACAGTAACTTTTCACAGAGAGACTTACTGGTGAGGTTCCAGAGAAGATCGAAAGTTTCAAACAGAAAATCAAAAACTAATTCCTTATTTTGCAAATCATGCCATACTTGAGAAGATGACATACTTTTTGAAGTCTCGTAAAGAAGTTTCAACAGAGTGTTATTGCTCTTAATATTTAAAACCAGATCATCATTCTGGTACAGAGAGAAAATTTTTGGAACAAGGGAGGCCACACTAGTACTATTAAATTTTTGGATATTTCTGAGGAAATCATGCACAATTTCTTCTAATTCTTGTACCTTATACATAAAAGTCGCATTTGAGAGAAATAAAGAGGAGGTATTCCTCACTCCAGGAATTGTGCTAAACGACACATTGACATGATCACCAGACAATGATCCAACTTCATAAAGATTTGTTTGAAAGTGTCCACTTAAATGTTTTAAATGGTCCAAAGCAGTAATATTTAACTCTGGCCAACCAGTCAGGATATTTTTGAGCAACACCATACTTCTATTATAAATTTTATTTTCTGTAATAGAAGATAAAATTCTAGATAAGGTCACAATTACCTCTTCCTCTTCTGCTTGACTCAAGAGAAAAAGCCTAGAATCAAGGTCATGGAATACACTTTCCACTATATGCCAGAAAATTTCTGTCTTCTTTTCTGTCCAGAAGCTCTGAAGAGGCTGGATTTTTTTTTGTAGCTCATTATGGAGTTCAGAAACTACAAGTGAGAAATTGGTGGCAGATTGCTCCCCATCAGCAAATTTTTTTATCCATATAATTGCATTATTCAAGGCATTTACAATTAGAGACTTGTTTGAAGAAACTGGGAAATCAAACATTATAATTTTTTCTATGACTTCTACAAGATGAGAAAGATGATCCATTTTATTTTCACCAGAAATCCTTAAGTTTTCTTCTGTCTTCAAAAACTCTTTGAAAGGTGTCAAAATCCTGAAAAATTAATTGTAAGTTTTTTCTTGTTAGTTACCTAGCAGGCAGGCAGGAATTTTTAACTATATATTATTTAATTTTAGAATCTAGGTCTACTTACTTAATTAAAGGAAATTCCAAATATACTATAAGTCCCAAATTAATCACCACAAAATCTTGAATTAGCAAAACTTGACAATTTCTTTGGTTTTCAAAAAAATGTGAAAAAACCCTACTGGAAAGTCACAACCTGATTCAAATCAAAACCTGAATGTAGACAGCAGTTAAATAATTGTGCATTTATCAGTACTTATAATCAAGCTTGAAAGCCACAAAGAATACAACACCTTTGAGTACCTCACATTTTCAGCTGCTGAAAAGAACAAAGCTTTTATGTTCCACAGACTAATTATTTTAAAGATAGGAATGTATCAACAGAATTGATCAAAACCTCTGATTTTCTATGAACGCTAAAGTTTTGGGTTTTTTTGTTTTCTCATCGTCATTGAAAGCTAAAATGTTCCAATTGACTGCCTGATAGCTGCACTGCTATTTTAATATCTACAAAAACACAAAGTCACAGTGAAAATTGGAATGCACCAACTGATGTTTCTATTCTGTCAGTATTATTGATCAAAAGAAAAAACAATTCCTAGTTATGCAAGATTGGTCAAGAGGAGGTGCATGGAAAAAAGAGCCTTGGAATGTAAAGGCCCTAAGTTCAAAATATCTTCTCCTTAGATATATTTTCTTTCTCTCCAGACTCTGCAATCAGAGATAGAACACAAAAACATTGTGCACTGCAAACAAAAGGGTAAAACTGCTAAAAATCTACTTTGATGTCACTTACAACTGCAGCAGCACAGTAGTTTTCTTTTATAAATTAGAACCAAATTTGAAAACAACCTATTAAATTTTTGAACAATTTGACTGCAATCTCTCTCTTGCTAGTTAATAATGGATTGTTTCTTTCAGATTTATCCTGAGATGTTGATTTGTATAACATGAATCATACCTCCTCCAGCTCTAGTGTTTAATATGAACAAGTAATTACAAGCAATGAGAAACTGAGGCCAATATTATAACTCCCAGAAGCAATGCAGGTCATCCAGTGTGTCATTAGAAATAGAGAAGTATCAGTTCCCTTGCTCTGCCATAGATCTTTCTTGGGGCTCTACCAACTCTGACAAACATTAACTCCCTTTATGTACAACTTAACTCCTCTGTAGAACCTTCCAGATCAGGAATATTTAAACAGCCTCACAAAACATCATTCTTAATAAGTACAGGGCTTACAGACACATCTTCATATAAAGTATTTACATTTACATCAAGTGACAAATCAAACGGAACTTGAAACTGTAAGAAAAGTTCAAAAACATCAAAAGAAATCATACTCAGAGTACGATTTCAGAGTGCCCTAGATGAGATTGCAAACTAATATATATATAAAAAATTCTATGTGTTTAAAATTCTGTTTTCCATAGGCCATAGCTGCAGACTTCTGTTACAAGATCTCCTGCGCAACTGAGTTTGACTTCTACAATAAAAATGCTAAGTATTTCAGATGCACTGGACTTGCTATACATGAGAAGTGTTACTGAGTCACACCAACTACTTGTGGGAATTAAATTTTATTTGCAGAACAAGATAGAGAATTCAGGTCCTAGTTCAAAATGCCAATTATCCACAGCTGCTGATTCCTGTGAGTCCTGATCATGTAGTAGTCACATCCTCTGCTGAACCTGTAGGCGACTATACTGTGAAGCACAAACTTAATTTCTTTTCCAGAACATATAAGCATCAGTACAGTTATTTGACTGTATACAGGGTTTTGAACTACAGAATAAAAAACGAAATCACAAAACAGACAAACAGAAATCAATTAAATGCAAAGTAAAAACAAATATTCAGGTTGATCTAATTTTATAAGACAAGCTGCAGAAAGATAACTTACCAATCATGTGATGAAACATATCCTTCTGAAAAATAGGCATCTGATTTCTCATTCCATTGCTGAATCAGGGTATTTATCTCTGAAAAAAGTTTCCTGATTTCCCTGTCATCTAGAAATTGAGACATTAAATCAGCCATGATTCTTCTAAGTTCCAAAAGGAGATTCTGAGAGAGACTGCTGCTGCCAAGCCATTGCTCAAGTATCTAGTGGGTTGAATACAAAACAGAACCTCTTGTTAATCAAGGATTTCTTACTTAGGCAGTACACAGAATTTGCATGTCTTTAAAAAAATTTACACAATCAACAATGATACCAAAATTTCTCCCTAACAACCTCTCGACTCTGAAATGAGTGATATGACAAAGGTAGATTTTCAATACAGTTTTGACTGACATGCAAGTTGGCAATGTAACAGGCTACAGAACACAGACAACTGACATCCCACGTGGTGCTGACCTTGCCTAAAGACCCAGGAATGCAGAAAAGATGGGCTGAGGTTGAAATTATCCAAAAGCTGACCACCACAGCCAGTTACTCAGGCTCCCTTTACCAGACTTCTGCCTACACTGCCAATGTGATGGAAGGTAGAAGCCTTAACATTTTTGGAGTCCCATAATACAAAGGTTGTGAAGGAGCCTGCATGCTCCCATTGTGCAGCCCAGAAATAAGCATAACAACACCTGGCCAGAACTACTGACTGCTCTCCTTTCCTTCACCATTACCTTTCTTTTTAATGCCAAGTGAATATCACAGATTTATTCTAAGAGATATTCTGTTCACCAAGATAATTCACAGTGGCCAGCAGATAACAGTATTTCTGGTGCCCATAAAAAGAACCTCAACCCTTGCTAAGAGTTTTTAGATCATGGCTGAAATTATTACTGGATTTTCCTGTATAGAAATTAGTGCATTAGTTTTGGCAATCACATTGAATTATTACCTCCAACATTATGCAGCAGGGAAACCTCCAAGATTACACTTTTGAGTAAATACACAGGAAGCTCTACATCAGAGTTTTAAGATGCTCTACTGGAAATTTATTTTTATCTTGCTTCAGCCACTATTGCCAGAGACAGTGAAGGGGAATAATAAATAAATTAATTATATATCAGTGGAGGTGTCTAGTCGCTTTTTCAGTTTTGTCCAACGTTTAGTCTCAGGTGGACAGTAAACAGCATCCTCTGACAGGTCTCCATATTGCAGTATATTTCAGTACATTCCCTTTTAGATTTCAAATCTGAATCTCCATTAATGAGAAAATCTGACTAAGTGGACACATGATGATAGCTTATACTTCCACTGTAATGACTCTTTATAAGGAATATTTCATCTTATTAGCAAAAAATTGCATAAAAAGAAGATTTTACAGATAACTTACATCTTTTAACTGAGTTACTGCTGACAACCAACATGGAAAAACTAGGAATTCAATTTATTATCTTATTAAAGTTACCTGTGCATAGAGTTTGAACTTGCTGACAGCATGAACAAGATACAGTTTGGCTTCATGCTGTGCAGAATTACAGCCCTCTCCATTATTCTCTTTGTTTGCTTCATTCTCTGGGACAACAGCCAGAGCAGAGCACACAAACTGCTCCAGTGTCTCTCCTGTGGGAATCTGGCAAAGACACAAGGAATTGATGAGTATTTCAAGAGCTTTGCTGAGTGTTCTCTCTCCTATCAACTTACTAATCTAGAGAAAATAAGAATAACACATGGCCTCTTCAGCAAGAATAAAGCCCATTTAACCTAGCCTCATATTCCTGGGCACATACTTCAAAGTACTCCACATGCAGGTTGCTGTATAAAATACCAGTGGCCCCATTAAGGTGCTCATACAGCAGGCAGAATGATGAGATTGCTCGTATCTGCAAGGAATTTTCACCTTGCAGCTACACTACTGCTGCTACTTCTACAGTAATTTGCAGGCTGCGGCTGAACTAACTTGACTATGATACAGTGCCCCTTCAGTAGAATAACTATACTGAAACAACTTCAAAAGTATAAAAATTACTGATAAAAAAAGCACTTCATACAATGATACATCTCAACCAGTGATTACATGCAGCAGAGTAGTTCTAAATTGAGGTTGGTGGGTTTCAAGAGAGTGGCCAAGAGAACAGAATATTTTCCCTCAGACTAATTTTTAAAATCTGTGATGAAAGACTAAATATTCCCAAGCCTATAAATATTATTAAACCTTACAAAAATAATGCTACACATTTCAGGTCTGTTATTGTCTGAGATACTTTACATCCTTGCTCTTTTCTACTTTGACCAGAGCATTCCTAACAAGTTTTGCAGGAGTTTTGACACCAAACAAAATGGGGCATTAGATAGAGAATTGAAGTGCTTAAAACAAACATTATCCAGGTTTCCATATTTGATTTAATAGTTCTTGATAGTCTTCAATGTTCTAACATAAGGACAAAATATTGAGATACTAGTTTAAATAGTTAGCAAGTGAGTAGCCTGGGATTTCACAATCAGCCATACCTACCAAGATGCAGTAGAATTCAATTCATTTGATCAAACAGGCCATCGCTGATATTTCATTAAAAGGCCATTCAAAAGTTAAGGGTTTGGGTTTTTTAATAATTTCTCCATTTGTGTAAATCAGCTATTTTTACAATGAGCTCGTCTGGAATATAACTCTAAATTGTAGTGCTCTGCAAAGGGCAGATATCACACAGATACCAACATGTTCTATTAAAGGAACTGTGGACTAAAGTACAAAAAATTGTTTCCAGTTTTCTGCAGTTCAAACCAGAGCACCACAAAGACCATTTTGGTCTGGAGAATAGGTTAGAATACCCTATTTGAAGAAAGGTTTTCTTCTAAATGTGATGCATCACCAGGATATTGATTAAGCACCAGTGAGACAACTCAGTCTAGCATATTCATATCAAGACTGCACAACTGAGAAGAAAGGACTCTTGATCTCCCTTAATTTATACACAGAAGAGACAGGCATTCTTTGTCCAGCAAACCAGATGAAAAATGCTACCAAACAAGCTAATCTGGTCAGACTCAAATAAAGGATTTGTTTAAAAAGTTTAGTGGATAAACACTCAGAATTCTCTACAGGATTTGGATAATAAACTCAGGACTCTGTCATACGCAGTTGTGACTTCAGAGAAGCACAAATTCATGTGTACACAACTAGAACTATCAGTGTCTTCATGCGCAGAGATGTCAGCTAAAGCTAAATACATTTAATTGATGGGAATGAAGCCAAGATATTTAACAGCCTTTAACAACCTGCTTCACAATGCTAAGCTTCTGTAACACAGGAAAATACGTTCATGGTACAAATGAAAAAAAAAATATATTTGAGAAAGACACCGAAATTTTCGACTGATTTACCTGTGTTAGTTGTGCTGTATAACTCAGCAGCTTCTCAACATGAGGGCCATCAAAACCAAACCTGGATTCAAGTTCTGCTTTCACAGCAAGTGGATTCCACAAAATATCCCCAAAAGAAAGATTGTATTGAAAACCTGAAAGAAAGAAAATCTTTTGCTTATGTAATTCATTCTTTTTACTCACCTTGTTTCTTGGTAGTTCACACTTGTTGAGATCCATGTATCACGTTCCCAGCTTTTTTGGGGACAGCAGAATGTGTGCACCCGCACACCAATTTACCTAGGATAAAATCCATCAATGCACTAGTGGTAAAGTCAGTTGATGTGATGGCATTTCAGCAGTTGATACGATGATGGTGGGATGCCCCAGCATAGTGATTGCCAGCAAACTCTGTAGGTTGCCATTCTGAACTGTACAGTTATGCAAAGGTGTGTGTATGGACTCCATGCGAATCACTACTGAGAATGATAACAACGGGAAAATACCAGAATTTCCAGGGAAATAGTTCATCTTCTGTGCAAGGGATCCAAGTATATCACCTTTGTCCCACATAGCCTTCAGTTTTGCAGGTGAAGTGAGATCTAGACTGCATATTGCTCTTAGCCTGACCTTCCATACCAAGCAGACAGCTGCACCTACACATGATGCGCTTCAGTTTGCCCATGAAACTTACTCCTGACCTTTTCTTGTTTTCCTGGGGCCAGACAACCTTTCTCCAATTAAGCTCATCTTCAATAGTGAAGCAGCAGGTGGAGAAATGTAAGTGTTCAGCTGACAGCAGAATTTATGAGAACAGAAGAATGAAGCTTAAAGTAAACCAGTCATAATGCTTAACATGCATGTCTAAAACAAAATGCTCTCTTCTATCAAATGGAAGAAACTGTCCCTTCTATTGATTTAGTCTCTCTCCAAAATTCATTGCTGAAAGGCCATTCTAAGCACTATGTATTAGACCAGTTTATCTGATGCTTTGTTTATCTGACAGTTGCCAAAGTCTGATAAAATTTAGTTATTAGTATTGGTCTTTAGAAAGCAGATCAGTAAAGAACTGGGTTAGCACTGCAGCAATATAGTTTAGTCTCTGCACATCAGGAAGCTAAGAAGAAGGTCCAACAGTTATTATCATATATTTCCAGCATGATTATGAGGTAGTTCAAAGAAAATCTGAAGCAAATTTCTTACCTTCAAAGCTCCTATCCTGTACTGATGCTGCAGTCAAATTCAGTGCCATTTTCACCACTTCATAGAAACTTTGGCCCAGTGGCATCATAGCTAAATCCTTCAGTGATGCTAAGGTACTGAAAGTGGAAAATAAAACAAAAATCAAGCTCTCTGTAAAGTCAAAAACCTGAAAGGACTTGCTGGAAGGAGACAATCTTCAAGCAACTGGATAATAATACACTTTTTTTTACTGTTGAAAAACCGATATTTTATGAAATTAGAGTTTAAATTAATAAAACACAGATTGAGATATTACAGCTAGAGTATCAATTTCCATTAAAGAAATGTGTCCTGAGAGGACCAATGTACTCTTAAAAAAAAAGGAGAGAAAAAAATGGGTGAATAAAAATAAGAGCAAGACTACCACAAACAAACATTCTCATCCCCACAAGAAGGCAGGATCAACATATTTTACTTCCCATCAATTGGAAGGAAAAAATATTTTTAAAGCAATATAATACTTATTCTCACAAGAAGTTAAACCAAGTGCATTATACAATGCATTGATAAAAATATATCTACTTAATTTCTTACAAGTCTCCATCATCTCAGCTGTGAAAAAAAATTCTGTTTATGTAGATGAAACTTAATACTTAAAATTTAAGTCAAATTTCGTACAGAGCAATCCTTTCTTATTATGCAAATAAGAATCCAGTAAACCCAAATCCAGTCACAGAGATGTGAAAAGTCTCTGTAAAGTACCTCTGAGAGACACAACAAACAGTACAGACCAGAAAGTGGGAAGTGCAAATTCAGAAGCTTTCTACTGGTTAAATTCTACCTTAGATAGGACCTCTAGATTGTCATATAGCAATATGAAACTAGTCAAGAAACAAGCATTGGGTTTTATGGTTTATTTTCCAAATTGCATTAATGAGGGTAAATTTGGTCACTGAAGGGCAGAGAAATGCTAAAAAAAACCCAAGCAAATGAAAATACCAAAACCATATGTAAATATCTGAGTCTCCTATGTAGTTTTGATGTTAATAGCTCAGAAAACAAGCTGGAATAAGGTTACAAATTACTCAGGCATAAGGGAAAAATAAATAAATTTTCAAAATCAAGCACCAACATAGGTGCAATCTGCATATTGTAAGAGACTTAGTTTGAAAAAAAGTTATATCATCATATCCTTCTTATCTGGGTGGAGAGCTATTTTTGTTGTTTTTCTTTGGGTAAGATTTTTTTTTATTAAAAAAAAAAAGAGAGAGATAGTGGGATGATAAAGGATGGCAGAACAACATAGTAATTTCTCATTCACAATCTTTGGGCCCCTGCTTCTCCATGGTCTAAGACTGGTGAGGTACATGGCCAGTCTTGCACAGGCACCCAATTTCAGAGGGCTTCTCTTGCTTTATGACTGTGTTATTTGACTGCAATGACAATTGCCTATCAAGTTGTTACAACAAACTGCCTACCCTGGCATATACACACCTGACTTTCACCTAACAATTACCTTATTTTACTGAAAATTCCTGTAGGTACATGCCTTGGTCTATGCTTTAATTCTATGCCTGCCTCTGAATCTAGCTGTCCTTTACCTGGTTCAAAATACAGTCTCTGGGGTTTTTTTTCCTAACCATTTCATTTCTTGCAAGAGGACACCTAAAGCTTTTTTGACAGCAAGAGGCTTAAGAAACAAAATTGAGTAATTTTCCTGTTACTGACTAAGTGCTACATACATTTGGATCTGATTATTTTCTTATATTCATATGTATATGTTCTGTCTTTCAAAGACCCCCAAAGTACATTACAAGGTTCAAATCCATATAATGTGATAGGCTAATTTCAGGCATTGCTATCATGAAGCTGCTTATCAAAGACTCCTAGGGCATCTCTGTTGAGTTTGGCAGAGATGCAAAACACAGTTATAAAGTAATCAGTGTGGGTGAAAATTCCTAACCCAGTTTTATAAAAGCAAAATCTGGCAAAGAGAAGAAAATTTTAGCCTCTTTACACTGTTAAGGATGCTCATGTTATTAAGCAGTGAGAAGAACAAGAATTGCAAACAAAATTTTAAAACAGAGCACTTTCAAGAATGTCAAAGTACTTACTTTTGAATAACTTTTAGAAAATGTGTTATGGTAGCTAACTCATCTTCTGTATAAAAGCTGTTCAGTTCAAGATGAGGGAGTGAATGCAGAAGGTTCCAGATATATGGTTGCTTGTACAGATTTTCTGCTCTAGAAATAATTTTCTCTGCTTCATTCAAATCCATCTTTAGGTGGAAAAAATAAAAATTACATGCAACACTTCCAATTAAAAAAAAAAAAAAAA